AAAATTTAAAAAAAAAAAAAAAAAACCCCCCCCCCCCCCCCCAAAAAAAAAAACCCCCCCCCCTTTTAAAAAAAAAACCCCCCCAAAAGCCCCCCCCCCCAAAAAATTTTAAAAACCCCCCCCCCCCAAAAAAAACCCCCAAAAAACCCCAAAAAAAAAAACCCCCCCCCAAAAAAAAAAAAAAAAAAAAAAAAAAAAAAAAACAAAAAACAAAAAAAAAAAAAACAAAAAAAAAAAACCCCAAAAAAAAAAAAAAAAAAAACCAAAAAAAAAAAACCAAAAAAAAAACAAAAAAAAAAAAACCCAAAAAAAAAAAAAACAAAAAAAAAAAAAACCCCCAAAAAAAAAAAAACCCAAAAAAAAAAAAAAAACAAAAAAAAAAAAAACAAAAAAAAAAAAAAAAAAAAACCAAAACAAAAAAAAAAAAACAAAAAAAAAAAAACCCCAAAAAAAAAAAAACAAAAACAAAAAAAAAAAAAAAAAAACAAAAAAACAAAAAAAAAAACCCTAAAAAAAAAAATAAAACAAAAAAAAACACACAACACAAACAAAACAAAAAAAAAAAAACCACAACAATTACAAAAAAAAACAAACAACCTAAAAAAACAACCCCAAAAAAAAAAAAATAAAAAAAAAAAAAAAAATAAAAAACAAAAAAAAAAAAAAACAAACAAAATAAATATATATTTAGTGAAGGATCCTGAAACCGTTTTATTTATAAATTGAATTAAGCCTGAAATGGAAACAATCCTCCACTCTAAAGGAGGGGTTTGGGTTATTGGCAGTTTGGAGGGATATATTATATTTATATATACTTCTGAACTGTTGTATCCGAGTGCCTCTGCAAAGACAGTGATTATGTATGAGTGAGGTGAAATTGTTGAATGATGAAAGTATTTTCTTTCGGGGGATTTTCTTTTTGGTTCACCCTGCCTCTGGGAGGCGGCAGACTTGTTAAAAAAAATTACATATATAATGTCGTGCCGAACAGAAACGTACTGAGGCAGAGGTCGTTAGAAGCAGCAGCAGCAGCAGCACAGCAACAGTGGATTAACAGTAGCGAGAACAACAGTTGCAGTATCAGCAAAAGCAGAGACAGGAGCAGCAGCAGTGTAAATTTACTATTTACGTTTAATGATTCACATTTATCTTTCTACAAACCTAGGTTAAAGGCTTATTTCAAATTTGCTTTTGTCTACTGCTCCTTAATATGTTTGGCTGTTTATACCTCTTGTAAGTGGTGGGCTGGAGCAGTTTGTGAGAGTTCCAAGGGTTGTCTTGCTTATCTATGGCTTTCCAGCAGCTTTGGCTGCGTTTAATATCACCTTACTTGCTCATTTATGCTTGAAAACGTCGAGTTAAATCCTGAGAGGACTTCTTATAACTACAGTGATTGGCATTACCAATTAATCAAACCATGGTACGGGCAGGAATTGAACTCGCGGCTAGTGAGTTAAAACTCCAGACTGGCGTCTTCACGAGTCATTACCAATTAATCCTTGGTTTCTTCTGGCCTAAAACACAAAGAAAAGACTTAAATGAAGAGCAAGTTTTTACTGTGACCATGTGTTGCAGTACGAAGCGCATCATTATAATCAGAGAAAGCGCTAGACCGACAAGGGAATATGAAGCGCTAGACACAGCAATACATAGCAGCTCTTATAAAAGCTTGCTCTACACTTGTCTTTACTTCAATACATTCCTTTGCTTATATAGATTCCTAAGATTCGAAAATTATTTTCTAATGTCTGCGGTTCTTTTTTTTTCGAGTTTCTATGGTCTTTGTCTCTGATCCCATCAATTCAAATTGACACTATTCCTCCTGTACCTTGCTTCTACGTATCATTTTCCAAAGTCGTTAGATTCAGCTCCTTCCTTATTTTCCATGCAGCTCCGGGACCAGTCTGATTGCTTGACTTTGAACTTTATATCTTCTGAACATTTCTGATTAGGCTGAGAGGCCACGCTGGTTCTCCATAGTCAATACTGAGCCAGAAGTATGTGTGAATAACGTCCAAGGAGGCTAGGCTGAGATTTGCTAGCCTCACAGTGTGCCGCCGAAATACCGCAGTTGACACCCACGTCTGCCCAAGTTTCAACGATATTTGTTGATACTCTCCTCCCAGGATATACTGAAGACTTTCATAACCTTTTCCGATCTTTTTTACTTTTGCAGGTGTTCGGATTAAACTCAAGTAACACTTATCTGATCAATTTTGCAACCTGTGCAAATCCACATATTAGTTGCCATTGTCATAATTATGTTTGCATCTTTAGCAAACAGAAGCGCACAGGTTTTAATTCCTCTGGGAGACCGCTTTCATGTATCACCATTAACAAGCAACCAATGATAACGCAAATCGGCTTTCAAGTGACCGCTGTTGTTACTGTGTTAGGTGATGGCGCTTTGTTGAATGGGATGCAACAAGAGCAGTTTTGTCCCTCTCTGGGCCAGACTGACCGGAGCCACAAAGAGAAGCGAAGAGACTCACTCATAAACTTCAATTATTCTCAATTGTTGTTGTCCTCCAGATCTACCCTGTGGGTGGGAAGTTTCCACGTTGCGAGTGACAGTATGAGAGATAAGATTTCGTTCGGATTTTTTAACCCCGGAGGGTTAGCCACCCAAGATTACCCAAGAAAGTGCGTCATCGAGGACTGTCTTATTTCAACTGGGGTCCTCAATCTTGTCCCCCAGGATGCGACCCACACCAGGTACCTATTTGCTGCTAGGTAAACAGGTGTAAGGAAACGCCTCGAAATGTTTCCACCCGCCGTGTGAAGGGAGAGCTTTGCCAGCTAGGCCACGGGGTCACCGCAAGTACACGGCAGAGCAAGGCTGGGCGGGGCAGCAAGAGTACCACGCACACACACAGCAAATGCTAACAGCAATAAATATCACTTTTACATGCTTCATACAATTACTCAGGACACAATTTTCCAACTGACAAAAAACAGCCACAGTAAGTTCGTTTGTCTTCTCCTTTTAGGGTTTCAGAGGCTCTACGTACTGCTTGAGGAACCAAGAAATTTCTTGGGCAAATCTTATGACACGATACATAATTGTTTATAGGGTAGAAGAGTAAACTAGCAGAAACCTCAGTCAAGTGACAAAAAAATGCTCCACCCAGCGAATCATATGACTAAGACCCGCATTAGGAGACAATTTTACATTTCTCCTAATGAACAAAATACCCTCTCCACCCCACTTTCTCGCTTTAGTGACAAATTGGCCAAACAAAACAAAAATGATTCTTGGAGCATCGTTTCCTGTATATTTAATTTTTTCAGCTTAGAGTTATAGTAACTTGCATCTCAAAATATGCAGAATTGGAAGGGAGGAAACAGCGATATTTGAAGAGCGTTTTAATCTATATTACTCGGTGCTAAAATAAAAAATAAATACCAACTTGTATAACACCCAGGGTAGCTATATAATGAAAATATTACTGGTACTTTTGCTTCGCTGAGCATGTATTTTAACCATATTTTTAAGCAAAACTTTCCATTAAAAACCTGAGAGAGAGAAAGCAGTCATGCAGACGGAGAAAACAACTGGAGTGCCCACAGGCTCATCCCTAGGACCCACAATAAATACCACGAATGAGCTACCCGAGAAAATTTATTCCTTCGTGAAGGCTTTGTTCAAAAAACAAGAATATCAACACAAAAAATAGTAAGAAACTGCAATACTTGACAAGCCGCATGACTTTTATTTTATGAAATGATAAACCGTGTGGGTCATTCTGCGCAAGGAGTACTAGAGACTATCTTCCGTCCGCTAATCATCAAAATGTACACTATATAAATCAGAATAATCATTTAGAAAAGTTGCGAAGTTTACTACAAGGTCTTAAAGTTGAAGGATACGAACTACACCGAAAAGGCGAATAGATTAACCTCATGTCAGTATAGGGCGAAGGACCATTAGAGAAATGGTCACCATGTATAACAAATTCGGGCACAACGCCAAGATAGACTGCTGACCATGGAAGCTGATCATTCATGGTACTCAAGGACCTTGACAAGACGCATACAGAAACTCAAGGAAACTGAATACCGAATGAGCAGGCAGAAGTATTTCTTCAATGTGAGTGGTACAGTGCCTGGGACGGACCAGTTGAGGGTCGCGTGTGGGATGAACTGCGTGAGTAGTAGTAGAGGCAAACACCATACAGGTATTCTAATGTAAATGACGAAACTACGAGGTTAAAAAGGCATCGTACCAGTCAATTAATAGCTAAGAGGCTGGACCCAGGAGCCGGAGCTTGCTTCCCCCACATACGTGACTACATACATACGTGACTACATCCCCGCCTGCGACACTCCCGTTTAGATAGCTAATCCCATTACTCGACTCAGTTCCAAGAACATCAGTAAGGAAATCTGATACGTGGTAAGGAGTGTGTGGCGTCCTGGACTAAACGTAACTCCACGGAATTTATTATAGTGATTGCTCAAACACGCTTCTTTCTTTACCCTCACTCCTACAATTACTAGTGTTTGTCGAGTGTCTAGCTCTATCTCAAAATTCTAAATTCTTTACTTTTAAAAACATTATATACAAATGTAGTTTTTGAAACAGCTAATGGTATGTAAAGCTTAACTAATTTTCTGTTGGCTAATATATATCTCTGACGTACTGGTTAGTAAATTCAGGACTGCATATACTTTCGGCTGAGCCGTTTCTAACCGCATAACACTTCCGTATTACTCTTTTGCATTCACGGAGAAGCATTAAACTCATGCAGGTTACTCACTGCCTGGGGAATGGGAGGGTTGGCGAGTAATCAGGTCTGATTTAAGGAAGAAAACTTAAGTTTCCTGATTTAAGAGCCATTCACCAAGACCAGGCGCCCCATGATCCCTGGTCCTCCTCCACCACCACCCAGGGTAAATAGTTTAGCTATGCCTACCCTATCTATACCGCAGAGAATTTAATGTCATGAACATATCTTGCATATCTCTCTCATAAATGCACCTGTGGTGTTGCGTTTCAGGCGAGTTCTGCCGACGTCCATGTGCGGAGAATGACACCCGTATCTGCCAGTTCAACTTCGACGTGCACTTCTACCAGACAATGTCCAGGTGAGTTTCACGTCATTATCTTCCCTCATCCCTCATTACCTCCCATCATGCTTCACCCTCTTCCTCATCTCTCACCGCCTCCCATCATGCTTCACCATCTCCTCACTGTAACTCACTCTGATGGAATATGACAGGGAAACATAGCGAGTGCTTGTGTGGTGGGGAGAGAACCTTCTACTTTTCTATCCTCGTCTCATACAGAATACACAACAGCCTTTAATTGAAAAAGTAGATAATTGTTCGCAGCAGACAGCCTCCTTGGTGTGGATTTCCAAGTCCTTCGCTGTCTACCATGTACTCCTATGAAACTCAAGAGTAGCACCACACTGCCGAGTTGTCCAATTAAAAAAAAAAAAAAAAAAAACCATTTGTATGATGCCCAAAATTTAATGGTATATTGTGCGTGTTTTACAGAGCGTGTTATGACTGTCCAAGAAACGTGACAGATTGTGACCGTCCAGAGTGTGTGGTTGGCGATGGCATCCGCAGGATGGTAGTCACTATCAACAAGCTCATCCCAGGTCCTCCCATAGAGGTCAGTCTCCCATCCTCCCTATCCTGGGACATCCCATCATTATCTTTTCATCCAAGTTTTTTTATATTTTTTTAGATGGCCATACACAGCGCACATCTGCACAGGCACGTTATCCAACCGACCACCGCCTCATCCAACCTGAAGTGTGACGGTATTGCTCTATCAGTCCAACAATACATCGAAAACAACACATGCTGTACACTTTAATGAGAAGAGAACTACATGAACATTACAGCTATACCAAAAACATCTTTAATGGCATCTTTGGGCACATCCTAGTTCCTTGTTCTGATAAGCGTCACCATTCCATGTCTTGGTAGAATGTTATGTTCCGTGTTTGACTGTGTGTGTCCTTCAACAGGTGTGTGTGGGAGACAAGGTTTGGTAGACGTCATGAACAACTTACCGTCAACAGCCTTGGCTTTACACTGGCACGGGTTGACCATGGGGCCCTCCAGAGCCATGCCCAACGCCCGCCAGACGCCCTACATGGATGGCACCCCTGGGTTACTCAGTGCCCCATACCCCCAGGATCAGGCTTCAGGTACTCCTTCTTCGCCTCGAACCCCGGCACACACTTCTGGCACGCGCAGGACTGGTACGTGAGGAGAGGGAGGGAGGGCAAAGGGGGTGGGTGATGTTAGGGTGTCATTGACGGGGGGGTGGGGGATCCTGTTCACTTCCCAACAGAGCACTTTTCACCCTTAAGTGCGACTGAGCTCTTAACAGCACTGTGCTCTTAAAAAACACTACACAGCTGCTCAATTAAAGAGAAACTCGAGTCACTTTAGTTCAGATAATATTGTGAAAAATGATACACAAATATAGGATTAGACAATTATTCACTACACTAATAAAAGAATGGGAATATAAAATTACTGGGAGAGCACCACTTAGACAAGGTTACTGGAGGAAATGTGGCAATAGATACCATAAATTGATTTAGAAAGTCATCATAGCAAATACTAGGGCATGTTAGAAAAAAATCGGTTCTGGAACCTTGATTACTTCTAACAACAAAGGTTAAAAAGAGTGAGTGGACGCATGGTGACCTGAAGACTACAATATGTCATTCTTCAGGTCACCATGCGTCACTCACACCTCACTCAGGTCACCATGCGTCACTCACACCTCCACTCTCCGCCTATAAAGACTGTCTTTTTAACCTCTGTATATTAGAAGTGATCAAGGCCCCGAGACCGAAGCGTTTTCTAATAAGTATGTCCTGGTGTTTGCTCGGGTGGCTTTATAAACCGGATATGACAGTGATCTATCACACTACCACTAATGGCACGCTCCCAGAAAGGTATCCCCGTATTAAGAACATAAGAAAGAAGGAACACGGCAGCAGGCCTACTGGCCCACGCTAGGCAGGTCCCAAGTCTCCTACAGGCTTAAGCCAATGCCTCAACTAGTCAGGTCAGGTCACATTCACTTAAGGAACACGGCAACTGACCTAGTAGCACAAGCTATTGCTTCATCCTAGTCCCCTGTGCCTCAATGCACGTGAAAGGCATATTGCAGAGCGCGGCAAAACTTTGCAACGCCGTAAAATATTAACGGTGAAGATTTTAGGTGAAAGGGAAGAAGCCTTAAGTTATCACACGGAAACTAATCTCAGTTTTTTTTTCTTTAATAAAAAACTGACATTAGGATATACACAGTCCAACACAAATTCAAATTTCCCCACCAAGAAAAACTAGCTTTAAAAGTTTAAAGCCGAACTGAAGAGGCATTTTGTAGTTCTCATACGTCAATATAAAATAAACAAACACTATATTTGAAGCCGCTCAGAAGTTAAATTATCAATTAATTGGATTGAAAGTTTGAAAACCAATCGGATAAACTTACGAATTATATAAAATTTGTAAGTTCATCAAAACCAGTGTTCCGTTTTTCCAATTTCAACAAAATGGCAGTTTAAGATCTACACTGACGAAAATCAATCCAATTTTTTCACAAGACTGGCCAACGATTAAGACTTGGTAATTTTTAATTTAGGCTTTGGATATGTCGTGCGAATAGGTAAAATTGGTCAATTAGCATGAACTTCTTTGAATTAAGTCCTTTCTAAAATTTTCTCTTATACGTTTAAAGATATATTTTTTCATTTATGTTAATGTAAAAATTGATAATTTTATACCAAAAGAACCTTAGAAAACTTACCTAACCTTATTATAACAAACGCAATTTAGCCTAATCCAACTAAATATATTTTAGATAAGTTTACAATAATTTAATAAACAATGAAATATATATTTTCGTTAGGTTCAGAATGATTTTTGCGAAATTATTGCATACACAAATTTTCGCTCGCCTTATTCGGCAAGAAGAGCGTTGCTATTTAAGCCAAAATCGCAAGCTTTACCTATTCGGCACGACAGATATAATAGCATACAAATTTGTTACAATGGCCTTGAGGGGACACAGATGTCACGGCTGCATAAGGATTACATTACGAAAATGTAACCTAGGATTACCCAATAGTCAAACACTGACTTCTGATCAGGAGAGTCATTAATTACTTTATGGGACACAATTTGTTTAAATAAAGAGGAGGCACTAAGAAAATTAAACCTGACTAGAAGCTGTATTCTCCAGCTATGACAAAAACCCATCAATTTCAAGCTTATTAACTAGATTATTATGATAGCCATGTGTTGTGTAATAGTTAGTAGTAAATAGTAGTGTAGTTAGTGCTAATTAGTAGTACTAGTTAGCCATAGTACTAGTTAGCAGCAGTACTAGTTAGCCGTAGTACTAGTTAGCAGCAGTACTAGTTAGCAGCAGTACTAGTTAGCAGCAGTACTAGTTAGCAGCAGTACTAGTTAGCAGCAGTACTAGTTAGCAGCAGTACTAGTTAGCAGCAGTACTAGTTAGCAGTGGTACTAGTCAGCAGTAGTTAGTAAGCATGACCTCTCTCCTGCTACAGGTTTTGAGCGAGGTGACGGGGTGTTTGGTCCACTCATCGTACACCAACCTGTCTCCAAAGACCCCAACCAGTTTTTGGCAGAGCACCTCCTTACCGTAAGTTTGTAGTCTTATATCGTTCACCCTCCTATACCTATTTTTTGAAGCTATGTATAAAGATTTGCATACATCAGTTTCTCTTCCAGTTCGTTACATTTTAATCACTCTCAGACTAAGAAGTACTTTTTAACATCACTATATATCAACTTTGTCATCATCCGTTTCCCAGACTGATTCTCGTAATAAAAAAGTCTATCCCAATATGCCGTGTATTAAGTAACTCATCCTGTACCTGTAACTTCACCTGTGTTCCACACACTAGGCTACGACTAATCTATTCAACTTCTACAAAACCAAAGGAATCACACTATATCTTATCTCTACCGCCACACAATAATACTGCTGGTCATATAATTAAATCCCCAAGAGATGTTATCAGCACTAATTATATTTATCGTCATTTCCGCAGATCAACGACTGGTTCCACAAGACGACACAAGCAATATATGCCAACAAAAACAGTGACGGACGCGATCCACACCTGATTCACTCCTCATCAATGGAAGAGGCCCACAGCAGGTGAGTGCAAGCAACCTCAGCATGTGATGATAAAGTAAGGGGGAACAATGTCAGCAGGCGAGGTGCTAGTATTGGTAAGTTTCAGGTGGAACATTCAATACTTTACCTTTTGCCTGAACATTATCAATTACTTTGGGCATCAACCACGTATCAGGATTCTGGCTTCTACTGTCACTCTAGAAGCTAAATACGTATATGAATATATATGAGACTACAAAGACTGGTATTTGAGAGAGAGAGCGAGGGGTAAGGGTGGCATCAACCTGTAGGACCACTAAGCTAGTTCTTTTTTCCTACACAGCACCTAGAGGACACCGTCAAGACCCCTCGGGTTCCCTACGCTAAGTTCCTGGTTGAGAACGGTAAGTCACCCCTACACCTGCCTTCCCCACATCAGGCTTTACCCTCGTTCACTTGGCCCTACCCCTACATCACCACCATTCTCTAGTCATTCTGACAGTTACATTTTTCTCTCCTCTATCTTGCCTTTCTAATTTCACAAACTGCTTTAATTTGTTTTATTTAATGCGGGATTAATCGTACTAGCTATTTTATGATACCTTGTCAGTGTATCGAAGTATAAATGTTTTCATTAGTTTCATGAATTTTCCACCTACAAATACGCTAGAAAGCATGATGAATAAAAGAAGGGTATACCATATGTTATGTGCTAGTTATGTAGCTATATCCACGCCATTCCTCACAACCTCGGCACAGAGAAGGACCAGTAGATGTCTCTACGAGAATGTAAATAATGAATGTGCAAATATTTCATATATTATCACGAATAAATAACTAAAAGATGCGAAGAGACTTTACAGGGAAGAGTGTGAACAAGGATATGCAAGGCACAGAAACGAAGGGTACAGGGGCAACGAGGTATGGAGCACAGACACAAAGGCACAGGGACAATGGGCGGGCAGACACACACCGAAGCATATGGAAAATAAGGTACAAACAAGCCATAGGGGCTACAAAAATACATCAGCCTTACACTTCCGTCTCTGGGTGGTAAGCAAAACTATATAGATGAACTGACTAAACTTTTCTTTCTAAGAAGCATTGATACCTTGTGATCCCCCACAGGTACCCGTTACCGCCTGCGCATCATCAACGCTGCCATCGCCCACTGCCCCGTGACTGTGACAATAGACAATCACGACCTCATTCTCCTAGCAGCTGACGGTGCATCAGTCTCTCCCGTCAACACTTCAGCGATACTCATCCACCCAGGTAAACCACTACCACCTTCTTACACATGGATCACGACTTTTCAAATGTTTAGCGGAATGAACAAGCCTTCTATTTAACTACGTATCTGACACCTTCCACAGTGGGGAAAACGTAGCTAAATAAAAAAATTACTCAAATTCACAATTTATCGGTTTTTTTAGTTCTCTACTACCCTCCAGTTGATTTATATTCACTGGAAAGTGCTAAAACCCGCTTGGGAACTGGGAGATATTCAGGACTGATTCAAGAGTTAGGTAATTCCAATTCCTTGTATTAGGAGTCATTTACCGACATCAAGGCTACCCCATCAGCGAAGCCTCCCACCCAGCTAGTCTCTCAGTTGTGCATCTACTTCTATGAGCCTCCAGTCTTTATTTAAGCCTCCAAATTTTCTCCGGGTAGTTTTTCTACTGCAACATGAATTATTCATTTTAAGCAACCATTTTTGTGCATAGAATGGAAAATGCAGGAGACAGGCAACTTTCCTGGAGTACTCCACTTAACAGTAAACTTTACTTCCCTAATGATTATTATAATCATGGGGGAAGCGCTAAACCCATAGGATTATACAGTGCCTGTGGGGGAGGGGGGAATGTGGAAGGTATTCAAGCTTAATTCAGGGAACTGAAGCACAGATCCAATTCCATACATCAAGAACCCCTCACCAGCGTCAAGGAACCTCCTTGAGGGGTCGTCCCTAATGAAATATCCAAACACAAATAAAGTAAACGATGATTCGGTATGTCGTGGACCATTATCAAGTTGCGAATAATGGTTCAGAACGAACTGAAACTACTTTGTTCTCAATTCCAATTTGCGAGTTAGATGCTACTTTCAGCCATGAAGCTCTGAGATGCTTCCTTCTAGTGTTTTTTATATGGCACACCTCTGTCCTTACCTTCAAGTGACCCCTCGCTCTCATCTACACGCTTTCCACCTTTGTCTCGTCCTCCAGGGGAACGATACGACGCTATGTTCTCAGCTGAGCATGACCCCAACGCCTCAGGTGGGACGTACTGGATTAGAGTCACCGGGGGCGGCCATTGTGCCGGTCTCCATCAATACGCTGCACTACAGTACCTCCCTTCCAACTTCACAGACTTCCAGCAGCTGCCAGCTATCCCGCCACACCACGCCTGCAGCCAACACCATCGCCCGGAGCTGTGAGTATGAAACCATGTACAGACTCGCTTCACGCCGACAGTTATGCTCAAGTCACAGCTCCTGATCCGTCGCTATCAACGTCCGTGGGCTCTACCTTATTTTCTTAGTATATATTAACGTATCTCAGCTTGTGTATGTATGGATGTATATATTCGCCTAGTTGTGTCTACGGGGGTTAAGCCCTAACACCTTCGTAATTATATTAATCGAGTTTCTTCCTCCCAGCTCAGCCTGCCTCTACCAACATCTCCGTCTTGAGGTATTTTATACTTCAACTACGTATTTGTTTACAGTTTAACAGAATTTTACATGATCAAGTTCTCTCTAGTTTCTCTGATCTTCTCGCTACTCAAAATCTTGATATGCATGACATGTGCAACGCTTCACCTACATACCAGGCTTTTTCATGTTTGAAATGATTAGTCCCTATTCAGAACTAAGTCTGATAATGCGCGAGCTAGAGAGATCATGGCGTGCTAAGACACTGGGTTGTGTACGTGCCGAACCTACCTAATTTACTTTTATCTTTTTAATGGTAGAAAACTGAACTACGCTCGTGGTGTCCAGCCTATATTTCTCCACTGAAGTTTTAACGAGTTTCAGCACACAATGCTTCATTCTTAAATCCATTCCACAAATACTTTCTGAAGTTTTCTACGAATTTTGTTTTTGAAATGCTCAGAAATATGACGAAATTTCCTTATACCGATGTTAAAAAAACTTGTCCTAAGGTGCGGTAACTATACTACAGTTCCATATACAAGGTCACCTGACTACAACCGTAAATATAAGGTGCAGTTATCTCAATTGTATATACAAGGCGTAGTCACCTCGGTACAACTGTATATACAAGAGGTAGTCACCTCGGTACAAACTGTATATGCAAGGGGTAGTCACTCGGTACAACTGTATATGCAAGGGGTAGTCACCTCGGTACAACTGTATATGCAAGAGGTAGTCACCTCGGTACAACTGTATATGCAAGGGGTAGTCGCCTCACTACAACTGTATATGCAAGGGGTAGTCGCCTCCCCTACAACTGTATATGCAAGGGGTAGTCGCCTCACTACAACTGTATATGCAAGGGGTAGTCGCCTCACTACAACTGTATATGCAAGGGGTAGTCGCCTCACTACAACTGTATATGCAAGGGGTAGTCGCCTCACTACAACTGTCTATGCAAGGGGTAGCCACCTCGGTACAACTGTATATGCAAGGGGTAGTCACCTCGGTACAACTGTATATGCAAGAGGTAGTCACTCGGTACAACTGTATATGCAAGGGGTAGTCACCTCGGTACAACTGTATATGCAAGAGGTTAGTCACCTCGGTACAACTGTATATGCAAGGGGTAGTCGCCTCACTACAACTGTATATGCAAGGGGTAGTCGCCTCACTACAACTGTATATGCAAGGGGTAGTCACCTCACTACAAATGTATATGCAAGGGGTAGTCGCCTCACTACAACTGTATATGCAAGGGGTAGTCGCCTCACTACAACTGTATATGCAAGGGGTAGTCGCCTCACTACAACTGTATATGCAAGGGGTAGTCGCCTCACTACAACTGTCTATGCAAGGGGTAGTCACCTCGGTACAACTGTATATGCAAGGGGTAGTCACCTCGGTACAACTGTATATGCAAGAGGTAGTCACCTCGGTACAACTGTATATGCAAGGGGTAGTCGCCTCGCTACAACTGGATATGCAAGGGGTAGTCGCCTCACTACAACTGTATATGCAAGGGGTAGTCGCCTCACTACAACTGTATATGCAAGGGGTAGTCGCCTCACTACAACTGTATATGCAAGGGGTAGTCGCCTCACTACAACTGTATATGCAAGGGGTAGTCGCCTCATACAACTGTATATGCAAGGGGTAGTCGCCTCACTACAACTGTATATGCAAGGGCTAGTCGCCTCACTACAACTGTATATGCAATGGGTAGTCTCACTACAACTGTATATGCAAGGGGTAGTCGCCTCACTACAACTGTATATGCAAGGGGTAGTCGCCTCATTACAGCTGTATATGCAAGGGGTAGTCGCCTCTCTACAACTGTATATGCAAGGGGTAGTCGCCTCACTACAACTGTATATGCAAGGGGTAGTCGCCTCACTACAACTGTATATGCAAGGGGTAGTCGCCTCACTACAACTGTATATGCAAGGGGTAGTCGCCTCACTACAACTGTATATGCAAGGGGTAGTCGCCTCACTACAACTGTATATGCAAGGGGTAGTCACCTCACTACAACTGTATATGCAAGGGGTAGTCACCTCACTACAACTGTATATGCAAGGGGTAGTCACCTCACTACAACTGTATATGCAAGGGGTAGTCACCTCACTACAACTGTATATGCAAGGGGTAGTCACCTCACTACAACTGTATATGCAAGGGTAGTCACCTCACTACAACTGTATATGCAAGGGGTAGTCACCTCACTACAACTGTATATGCAAGGGGTAGTCACCTCACTACAACTGTATATGCAAGGGGTAGTCGCCTCACTACAACTGTATATGCAAGGGGTAGTCGCCTCACTACAACTGTATATGCAAGGGGTAGTCGCCTCACTACAACTGTATATGCAAGGGGTAGTCGCCTCACTACAACTGTATATGCAAGGGGTAGTCGCCTCTCTACAACTGTATATGCAAGGGGTAGTCGCCTCACTACAACTGTATATGCAAGGGGTAGTCGCCTCACTACAACTGTATATGCAAGGGGTAGTCGCCTCACTACAACTGTATATGCAAGGGGTAGTCGCCTCACTACAACTGTATATGCAAGGGGTAGTTGCCTCACTACAACTGTATATGCAAGGGGTAGTCACCTCACTACAACTGTATATGCAGGAGGTAGTCACCTCACTACAACTGTATATGCAAGGGGTAGTCACCTCACTACAAACTGTATATGCAAGGGGTAGTCACCTCACTACAACTGTATATGCAAGGGGTAGTCACTCACTACAACTGTATATGCAAGGGGTAGTCACCTCACTACAACTGTATATGCAAGGGGTAGTCACCTCACTACAACTGTATATGCAAGGGGTAGTCACCTCACTACAACTGTATATGCAAGGGGTAGTCACCTCACTACAACTGTATATGCAAGGGGTAGTCACCTCACTACAACTGTATATGCAAGGGGTAGTCACCTCACTACAACTGTATATGCAAGGGTAGTCACCTCACTACAACTGTATATGCAAGGGGTAGTCACCTCACTACAACTGTATATGCAAGGGGTAGTCACCTTACTACAACTGTATATGCAAGAGGTAGTCACCTCACTACAACTGTATATGCAAGCTGTGGTTACCTCACTGCAATTATACATTCCAAAATTAATTTAACATAGCTTTTAAAATATACATTTTAGCGTTTCAGTATCTATAGTTCAAAAGAGCTAATCTATTAACGTAATGTTACTAATTTCTTTATAACTGAGAACGTTACAACCCCCCCCAGGCCCCCAACAACAATATAATTATAGTAGCTCACTGATGCCCCCCAATACAAGGACGAAAGATCGAAAGGTCAATCGCCATTATGTGCACTGTGTTATGGTATCACTTACGTGAGTTATGCAGACTGTTTCCCCAGACTGACGGTCCTACTCCATTTCAGTATCTTAAACGTTCAATGCTCTCTTGGGATAAATATCTAGCCTCGTAGCGACTGGAACCTGTAGTAGTAGTAATAGTAGGTGGTTCGCCGTTACTGTCCCGGCCCGGGTCTTTTCCAGATGGTGACCCGGTGATGGCCCCCCCCCCCGGATCGGGGGATGAGTGGAACCTGTAAATATTTTTTATTTTAAAATCTAAAGCTAAAGACATTAAGTAATTCCTACAAATACTGGACTGTGTGATCAGGACAAATCTGAATTTTCCTCAACACAAATAACAATGACAATTTGATACTAACATGACCAAGTAGCTAAAGAAAATATGGCGAATCCTTTATAAGACAGCTGGCGGCAGAGGCTTATTATTGTTCTGCCGGACTTTTCTGTATAATGTTGAGCTTACCGGTTACAGTTTCTCATTGCAAAAATACCTGTAAGAGTAATGAGATTTAGTGTTGAAGGCAGACTTATTCGACCAGATGTGTAGCGGTTAACTATCCTACCAGCTGCTTCCAGCCAAATAGTAATAGTGGTCTATCAACTTCCTCGGCCAGCCTAATTCAATCTTCCCTAAATTAGTTTCGATTTCCAAGGAAGCAATATGGTAAATATTCTTCACTAACTGACTACACGATTACACCTGATATTAAAGCACAAATCCCCAAACAGAGCAAATAACTGAATCCCACAACGTACATAATACCAACTAAGGCATAAATTACATATGCCATGTTTAGAAACTTCAAATAAAAGTTTCCAAATGCTGCACATGTCTAATTTAGGTGAAATATATCTTATGCTCCCCAACATTCCACCACCGTCTGAAGGCCTAAAAAAACATAAAACATAATTTTTTAAAACCGGAAAAAGGTATATTGTGCGTGTTTTACAGAGCGTGTTATGACTGTCCAAGAAACGTGACAGATTGTGACCGTCCAGAGTGTGTGGTTGGCGATGGCATCCGCAGGATGGTAGTCACTATCAACAAGCTCATCCCAGGTCCTCCCATAGAGGTCAGTCTCCCATCCTCCCTATCCTGGGACATCCCATCATTATCTTTTCATCCAAGTTTTTTTATATTTTTTTAGATGGCCATACACAGCGCACATCTGCACAGGCACGTTATCCAACCGACCACCGCCTCATCCAACCTGAAGTGTGACGGTATTGCTCTATCAGTCCAACAATACATCGAAACAACACATGCTGTACACTTTAATGAGAAGAGAACTACATGAACATTACAGCTATACCAAAAACATCTTTAATGGCATCTTTGGGCACATCCTAGTTCCTTGTTCTGATAAGCGTCACCATTCCATGTCTTGGTAGAATGTTATGTTCCGTGTTTGACTGTGTGTGTCCTTCAACAGGTGTGTGTGGGAGACAAGGTGTTGGTAGACGTCATGAACAACTTACCGTCAACAGCCTTGGCTTTACACTGGCACGGGTTGACCATGGGGCCCTCCAGAGCCATGCCCAACGCCCGCCAGACGCCCTACATGGATGGCACCCCTGGGGTTACTCAGTGCCCCATACCCCCAGGATCAGGCTTCAGGTACTCCTTCTTCGCCTCGAACCCCGGCACACACTTCTGGCACGCGCAGACTGGTACGTGAGGAGAGGGAGGGAGGGCAAAGGGGGTGGGTGATGTTAGGGTGTCATTGACGGGGGGGGTGGGGGATCCCTGTTCACTTCCCAACAGAGCACTTTTCACCACTTAAGTGCGACTGAGCTCTTAACAGCACTGTGCTCTTAAAAAACACTACACAGCTGCTCAATTAAAGAGAAACTCGAGTCACTTTACGTTCAGATAATATTGTGAAAAATGATACACAAATATAGGATTAGACAATTATTCACTACACTAATAAAAGAATGGGAATATAAAATTACTGGGAGAGCACCACTTAGACAAGGTTACTGGAGGAATGTGGCAATAGATACCCATAAATTGATTTAGAAAGTCATCATAGCAAATACTAGGGCATGTTAGAAAAAAATCGGTTCTGGAACCTTGATTACTTCTAACAACAAAGGTTAAAAAGAGTGAGTGACGCATGGTGACCTGAAGACTACAATATGTCATTCTTCAGGTCACCATGCGTCACTCACACCTCACTCAGGTCACCATGCGTCACTCACACCTCACTCTCCGCCTATAAAGACTGTCTTTTTAACCTCTGTATATTAGAAGTGATCAAGGCCCCGAGACCGAAGCGTTTTCTAATAAGTATGTCCTGGTGTTTGCTCGGGTGGCTTTATAAACCGGATATGACAGTGATCTATCACACTACCACTAATGGCACGCTCCCAGAAAGGTATCCCCGTATTAAGAACATAAGAAAGAAGGAACACGGCAGCAGGCCTACTGGCCCACGCTAGGCAGGTCCAAGTCTCCTACAGGCTTAAGCCAATGCCTCAACCTAGTCAGGTCAGGTCACATTCACTTAAGGAACACGGCAACTGACCTAGTAGCACAAGCTATTGCTTCATCCTAGTCCCCTGTGCCTCAATGCACGTGAAAGGCATATTGCAGAGCGCGGCAAAACTTTGCAACGCCGTAAAATATTAACGGTGAAGATTTTAGGTGAAAGGGAAGAAGCCTTAAGTTATCACACGGAAACTAATCTCAGTTTTTTTTTCTTTAATAAAAAACTGACATTAGGATATACACAGTCCAACACAAATTCAAATTTCCCCACCAAGAAAAACTAGCTTTAAAAGTTTAAAGCCGAACTGAAGAGGCATTTTGTAGTTCTCATACGTCAATATAAAATAAACAAACACTATATTTGAAGCCGCTCAGAAGTTAAATTATCAATTAATTGGATTGAAAGTTTGAAACCAATCGGATAAACTTACGAATTATATAAAATTTGTAAGTTCATCAAAACCAGTGTTCCGTTTTTCCAATTTCAACAAAAATGGCAGTTTAAGATCTACACTGACGAAAATCAATCCAAATTTTTCTACAAGACTGGCCAACGATTAAGACTTGGTAATTTTTATTTAGGCTTTGGATATGTCGTGCCGAATAGGTAAAATTGGTCAATTAGCATGAACTTCTTTGAAATTAAGTCCTTTCTAAAATTTTCTCTTATACGTTTAAAGATATATTTTTTCATTTATGTTAATGTAAAAATTGATAATTTTATACCAAAAGAACCTTAGAAAACTTACCTAACCTTATTATAACAAACGCAATTTAGCCTAATCCAACTAAATATATTTTAGATAAGTTTACAATAATTTAATAAACAATGAAATATATATTTTCGTTAGGTTCAGAATGATTTTTGCGAAATTATTGCATACACAAATTTTCGCTCGCCTTATTCGGCAAGAAGAGCGTTGCTATTTAAGCCAAAATCGCAAGCTTTACCTATTCGGCACGACAGATATATAGCATACAAATTTGTTACAATGGCCTTGAGGGGACACAGATGTCACGGCTGCATAAGGATTACATTACGAAAATGTAACCTAGGATTACCCAATAGTCAAACACTGACTTCTGATCAGGAGAGTCATTAATTACTTTATGGGACACAATTTGTTTAAATAAAGAGGAGGCACTAAGAAATTAAACCTGACTAGAAGCTGTATTCTCCAGCTATGACAAAAACCCATCAATTTCAAGCTTATTAACTAGATTATTATGATAGCCATGTGTGTGTAATAGTTAGTAGTAAATAGTAGTGCTAGTTAGTGCTAATTAGTAGTACTAGTTAGCCATAGTACTAGTTAGCAGCAGTACTAGTTAGCCGTAGTACTAGTTAGCAGCAGTACTAGTTAGCAGCAGTACTAGTTAGCAGCAGTACTAGTTAGCAGCAGTACTAGTTAGCAGCAGTACTAGTTAGCAGCAGTACTAGTTAGCAGCAGTACTAGTTAGCAGTGGTACTAGTCAGCAGTAGTTAGTAAGCATGACCTCTCTCCTGCTACAGGTTTTGAGCGAGGTGACGGGGTGTTTGGTCCACTCATCGTACACCAACCTGTCTCCAAAGACCCCAACCAGTTTTTGGCAGAGCACCTCCTTACCGTAAGTTTGTAGTCTTATATCGTTCACCCTCCTATACCTATTTTTGAAGCTATGTATAAAAGATTTGCATACATCAGTTTCTCTTCCAGTTCGTTACATTTTAATCACTCTCAGACTAAGAAGTACTTTTTAACATCACTATATATCAACTTTGTCATCATCCGTTTCCCAGACTGATTCTCGTAATAAAAAAGTCTATCCCAATATGCCGTGTATTAAGTAACTCATCCTGTACCTGTAACTTCACCTGTGTTCCACCACACTAGGCTACGACTAATCTATTCAACTTCTACAAAACCAAAGGAATCACACTATATCTTATCTCTACCGCCACACAATAATACTGCTGGTCATATAATTAAATCCCCAAGAGATGTTATCAGCACTAATTATATTTATCGTCATTTCCGCAGATCAACGACTGGTTCCACAAGACGACACAAGCAATATATGCCAACAAAAACAGTGACGGACGCGATCCCACACCTGATTCACTCCTCATCAATGGAAGAGGCCCACAGCAGGTGAGTGCAAGCAACCTCAGCATGTGATGATAAAGTAAGGGGGAACAATGTCAGCAGGCGAGGTGCTAGTATGGTAAGTTTCAGGTGGAACATTCAATACTTTACCTCTTGCCTGAACATTATCAATTACTTTGGGCATCAACCACGTATCAGGATTCTGGCTTCTACTGTCACTCTAGAAGCTAAATACGTATATGAATATATATGAGAACTACAAAGACTGGTATTTGAGAGAGAGAGCGAGGGGTAAGGGTGGCATCAACCTGTAGGACCACTAAGCTAGTTCTTTTTTCCTACACAGCACCTAGAGGACACCGTCAAGACCCCTCGGGTTCCCTACGCTAAGTTCCTGGTTGAGAACGGTAAGTCACCCCTACACCTGCCTTCCCCACATCAGGCTTTACCCTCGTTCACTTGGCCCTACCCCTACATCACCACCATTCTCTAGTCATTCTGACAGTTACATTTTTCTCTCCTCTATCTTGCCTTTCTAATTTCACAAACTGCTTTAATTTGTTTTATTTATGCGGGATTAATCGTACTTAGCTATTTTATGATACCTTGTCAGTGTATCGAAGTATAAATGTTTTCATTAGTTTCATGAATTTTCCACCTACAAATACGCTAGAAAGCATGATGAATAAAAGAAGGGTATACCATATGTTATGTGCTAGTTATGTAGCTATATCCACGCCATTCCTCACAACCTCGGCACAGAGAAGGACCAGTAGATGTCTCTACGAGAATGTAAATAATGAATGTGCAAATATTTCATATATTATCACGAATAAATAACTAAAAGATGCGAAGAGACTTTACAGGGAAGAGTGTGAACAAAGGATATGCAAGGCACAGAAACGAAGGGTACAGGGGCAACGAGGTATGGAGCACAGACACAAAGGCACAGGGACAATGGGCGGGCAGACACACACCGAAGCATATGGAAAATAAGGTACAAACAAGCCATAGGGGCTACAAAAATACATCAGCCTTACACTTCCGTCTCTGGGTGGTAAGCAAAACTATATAGATGAACTGACTAACTTTTCTTTCTAAGAAGCATTGATACCTTGTGATCCCCCACAGGTACCCGTTACCGCCTGCGCATCATCAACGCTGCCATCGCCCACTGCCCCGTGACTGTGACAATAGACAATCACGACCTCATTCTCCTAGCAGCTGACGGTGCATCAGTCTCTCCCGTCAACACTTCAGCGATACTCATCCACCCAGGTAAACCACTACCACCTTCTTACACATGGATCACGACTTTTCAAATGTTTAGCGAATGAACAAGCCTTCTATTTAACTACGTATCTGACACCTTCCACAGTGGGGAAAACGTAGCTAAATAAAAAAATTACTCAAATTCACAATTTATCGGTTTTTTAGTTCTCTACTACCCTCCAGTTGATTTATATTCACTGGAAAGTGCTAAACCCGCTTGGGAACTGGGAGATATTCAGGACTGATTCAAGAGTTAGGTAATTCCAATTCCTTGTATTAGGAGTCATTTACCGACATCAAGGCTACCCCATCAGCGAAGCCTCCCACCCAGCTAGTCTCTCAGTTGTGCATCTACTTCTATGAGCCTCCAGTCTCTTATATAAGCCTCCAAATTTTCTCCGGGTAGTTTTTCTACTGCAACATGAATTATTCATTTTAAGCAACCATTTTTGTGCATAGAATGGAAAATGCAGGAGACAGGCAACTTTCCTGGAGTACTCCACTTAACAGTAAACTTTACTTCCCTAATGATTATTATAATCATGGGGGAAGCGCTAAACCCATAGGATTATACAGTGCCTGTGGGGGAGGGGGGGAATGTGGAAGGTATTCAAGCTTAATTCAGGGAACTGAAGCACAGATCCAATTCCATACATCAAGAACCCCTCACCAGCGTCAAGGAACCTCCCTTGAGGGGTCGTCCCTAATGAAATATCCAAACACAAAATAAAGTAAACGATGATTCGGTATGTCGTGGACCATTATCAAGTTGCGAATAATGGTTCAGAACGAACTGAAACTACTTTGTTCTCAATTCCAATTTGCGAGTTAGATGCTACTTTCAGCCATGAAGCTCTGAGATGCTTCCTTCTAGTGTTTTTTATATGGCACACCTCTGTCCTTACCTTCAAGTGACCCCTCGCTCTCATCTACACGCTTTCCACCTTTGTCTCGTCCTCCAGGGGAACGATACGACGCTATGTTCTCAGCTGAGCATGACCCCAACGCCTCAGGTGGGACGTACTGGATTAGAGTCACCGGGGGCGGCCATTGTGCCGGTCTCCATCAATACGCTGCACTACAGTACCTCCCTTCCAACTTCACAGACTTCCAGCAGCTGCCAGCTATCCCGCCCACACCCACGCCTGCAGCCAACCCATCGCCCGGAGCTGTGAGTATGAAACCCATGTACAGACTCGCTCACGCCGACAGTTATGCTCAAGTCCACAGCTCCTGATCCGTCGCTATCAACGTCCGTGGCTCTACCTTATTTTCTTAGTATATATTAACGTATCTCAGCTTGTGTATGTATGGATGTATATATTCGCCTAGTTGTGTCTACGGGGGTTAAGCCCTAACACCTTCGTAATTATATTAATCGAGTTATCTTCCTCCCAGCTCAGCCTGCCTCTACCAACAATCTCCGTCTTGAGAGTATTTTATACTTCAACTACGTATTTGTTTACAGTTTAACAGAATACATGATCAAGTCTCCTCTAGTTCTCTGATCTTCTCGCTACTCAAAATCTTGATATGCATGACATGTGCAACGCTTCACCTACATACCAGGCTTTTTCATGTTTGAAATGATTAGTCCCTATTCAAGAACTAAAGTCTGATAATGCGCGAGCTAGAGAGATCACTGGCGTGCTAAGACACTGGGTGTGTACGTGCCGAACCTACCTAATTTACTTTTATCTTTTTAATGGTAGAAAACTGAACTACGCTCGTGGTGTCCAGCCTATATTTCTCCACTGAAGTTTTAACGAGTTTCAGCACACAATGCTTCATTCTTAAATCCATTCCACAAATACTTTCTGAAGTTTTCTACGAATTTTGTTTTTGAAATGCTCAGAAATATGACGAAATTTTCCTTATACCGATGTTAAAAAAACTTGTCCTAAGGTGCGGTAACTATACTACAGTTCCATATACAAGGTCACCTGACTACAACCGTAAATATAAGGTGCAGTTATCTCAATTGTATATACAAGGCGTAGTCACCTCGGTACAACTGTATATACAAGAGGTAGTCACCTCGGTACAACTGTATATGCAAGGGGTAGTCACCTCGGTACAACTGTATATGCAAGGGGTAGTCACCTCGGTACAACTGTATATGCAAGAGGTAGTCACCTCGGTACAACTGTATATGCAAGGGGTAGTCGCCTCACTACAACTGTATATGCAAGGGGTAGTCGCCTCACTACAACTGTATATGCAAGGGGTAGTCGCCTCACTACAACTGTATATGCAAGGGGTAGTCGCCTCACTACAACTGTATATGCAAGGGGTAGTCGCCTCACTACAACTGTATATGCAAGGGGTAGTCGCCTCACTACAACTGTCTATGCAAGGGGTAGCCACCTCGGTACAACTGTATATGCAAGGGGTAGTCACCTCGGTACAACTGTATATGCAAGAGGTAGTCACCTCGGTACAACTGTATATGCAAGGGGTAGTCACCTCGGTACAACTGTATATGCAAGAGGTAGTCACCTCGGTACAACTGTATATGCAAGGGGTAGTCGCCTCACTACAACTGTATATGCAAGGGGTAGTCGCCTCACTACAACTGTATATGCAAGGGGTAGTCACCTCACTACAAATGTATATGCAAGGGGTAGTCGCCTCACTACAACTGTATATGCAAGGGGTAGTCGCCTCACTACAACTGTATATGCAAGGGGTAGTCGCCTCACTACAACTGTATATGCAAGGGGTAGTCGCCTCACTACAACTGTATATGCAAGGGGTAGTCACCTCCTACAACTGTATATGCAGGGGTAGTCACCTCACTACAACTGTATATGCAAGGGTAGTCACCTCGGTACAACTGTATATGCAAGGGGTAGTCCACTCGCTACAACTGATATGCAAGGGGTAGTCACCTCACTACAACTGTATATGCAAGGGGTAGTCACCTCACTACAACTGTATATGCAAGGGGTAGTCGCCTCACTACAACTGTATATGCAAGGGGTAGTCGCCTCACTACAACTGTATATGCAAGGGGTAGTCGCCTCACTACAACTGTATATGCAAGGGGTAGTCGCCTCACTACAACTGTATATGCAAGGGGTAGTCGCCTCTCTACAACTGTATATGCAAGGGGTAGTCGCCTCACTACAACTGTATATGCAAGGGGTAGTCGCCTCACTACAACTGTATATGCAAGGGGTAGTCGCCTCACTACAACTGTATATGCAAGGGGTAGTCGCCTCACTACAACTGTATATGCAAGGGGTAGTTGCCTCACATACAACTGTATATGCAAGGGGTAGTCACCTCACTACAACTGTATATGCAGGAGGTAGTCACCTCACTACAACTGTATATGCAAGGGGTAGTCACCTCACTACAACTGTATATGCAAGGGGTAGTCACCTCACTACAACTGTATATGCAAGGGGTAGTCACCTCACTACAACTGTATAGCAAGGGGTAGTCACCTCACTACAACTGTATATGCAAGGGGTAGTCACCTCACTACAACTGTATATGCAAGGGGTAGTCACCTCACTACAACTGTATATGCAAGGGGTAGTCACCTCACTACAACTGTATATGCAAGGGGTAGTCACCTCACTACAACTGTATATGCAAGGGGTAGTCACCTCACTACAACTGTATATGCAAGGGTAGTCACCTCACTACAACTGTATATGCAAGGGGTAGTCACCTCACTACAACTGTATATGCAAGGGGTAGTCACCTTACTACAACTGTATATGCAAGAGGTAGTCACCTCACTACAACTGTATATGCAAGCTGTGGTTACCTCACTGCAATTATACATTCCAAAATTAATTTAACATAGCTTTTAAAATATACATTTTAGCGTTTCAGTATCTATAGTTCAAAAGAGCTAATCTATTAACGTAATGTTACTAATTTCTTTATAACTGAGAACGTTACAACCCCCCCCCAGGCCCCCAACAACAATATAATTATAGTAGCTCACTGATGCCCCCCAATACAAGGACGAAAGATCGAAAGGTCAATCGCCATTATGTGCACTGTGTTATGGTATCCACTTACGTGAGTTATGCAGACTGTTTCCCCAGACTGACGGTCCTACTCCATTTCAGTATCTTAAACGTTCAATGCTCTCTTGGGATAAATATCTAGCCTCGTAGCGACTGGAACCTGTAGTAGTAGTAATAGTAGGTGGTTCGCCGTTACTGTCCCGGCCCGGGTCTTTTCCAGATGGTGACCCGGTGATGGCCCCCCCCCCCCGGATCGGGGGATGAGTGGAACCTGTAAATATTTTTTATTTTAAAATCTAAAGCTAAAGACATTAAGTAATTCCTACAAATACTGGACTGTGTGATCAGGACAAATCTGAATTTTCCTCAACACAAATAACAATGACAATTTGATACTAACATGACCAAGTAGCTAAAGAAAATATGGCGAATCCTTTATAAGACAGCTGGCGGCAGAGGCTTATTATTGTTCTGCCGGACTTTTCTGTATAATGTTGATGCTTACCGGTTAACAGTTTCTCATTGCAAAAATACCTGTAAGAGTAATGAGATTTAGTGTTGAAAGGCAGACTTATTCGACCAGATGTGTAGCGGTTAACTATCCTACCAGCTGCTTCCCAGCCAAATAGTAATAGTGGTCTATCAACTTCCTCGGCCAGCCTAATTCAATCTTCCCCTAAATTAGTTTCGATTTCCAAGGAAGCAATATGGTAAAATATTCTTCACTAACTGACTACACGATTACACCTGATATTAAAGCACAAATCCCCAAACAGAGCAAATAACTGAATCCCACAACGTACATAATACCAACTAAGGCATAAATTACATATGCCATGTTTAGAAACTTCAAATAAAAGTTTCCAAATGCTGCACATGTCTAATTTAGGTGAAATATATCTTATGCTCCCGAACACTACCACCACCGTCTGAAGGCCATAAAAACATCAGTAATACATAATTTTAATACACAGGAAAAAAGAACCCAAGTAGACAAGCACAAAGGTATGGGAAGATCTCTATGTATATTTGTATCCCCAGATAAGATCCTCTTCAGCAGATGAGGTTGATCTCAGTTGAAAATCGAAATATACAGATCTTCCCTCATCTGTGTATGTCATTTTCCTGTTTATAATATTACATCTTTCAATATACGTATACCATAGCAGCCTAAATAGGATTTGCAACATATGTAGATGAATAAATCAAAACTTGTTTTCCCATATATAAGTAACAGATGTATTTATATCATATGCGGTTTTAACTTACTGTCGTCTCCTACAAAAGTAACACCTTACACGGTGGCATATTTCACAGGAGGAGTTCAGCGGCAGGTGTGGCACTCAGGGCCAGCGCTGTGTGGCGGCATTGCAAGCATTAGCACTACCAGAAAAACTCAAAATACCCAAGACCAACAACACATTCTACCTCGCCTTCTCATCCAAGACAGTACACAACCAGAACTTCTACTCTCTCATCTACTACAACATCTACGACGGTGAGGGGGAGGGGTTATGTTCCTAGTATATAAACGTCATGTTGTTCTAGCTTGAAGGTACTTCATAGTATCCCCATGGCGCCGAGTCATTTTACTAAGCTCGTTAAAAACACTGACTAATCTTGTGACTATTTCAAACCATTCAGAAACACTGTAAAAACAGATTCTATTGTGACGCCTCTCAATCATACTGGATTCCGGTTATGGCTTCTAACCCTCTTAACACTTGATTTTCATGTGAAGTCCCCTGACCCATTTAAGCATACTGGATATCCCTGTGACACCTATCACACTAGATTCCCTTGTGTGACGCTTTCTAGCCATTCAAAACACACTAGATAACCCTGTGATACAGCATCAACATCTTTACCACCTGGTGACTAACTTCAGTGACGTTCTGTGCCACATATCCCCCCTTCCCGGTCTCGCGTAACACCTTGCACTGATCCTTAACATCGCTCCATAACGTTTTTTAACGCTGTACCATAACCTGCCATAACTCGTCCCTACAGAATCCTGGGAGAAGAGAGTCTTGACACCGCAGATCAACCACCTCACCTTCAGAGCACCACCCAAGCCCCTGCTGGTCAACCGTAAACCCCTAAAGTCTGAGAACTGCAGCGCTGATGGTGTACGTCGTGGTCAGTGCTCTGCTGACTACTGCGAGTGTATCCATGCTTTACACGTCTCCCTCGGTGCCATTGTCGACCTCGTCCTTATTGGTGAAGGTGGGTCAACCCTCCCACGGCCCAGTTTCAGACTAGGCCTCCTGGTGGATGACCTGTTCATGTCCTTAGTAAAAAAGATTTAAAAAAAAATCAGAAAAAATAAAACTATTTAAATACGCTAGGTTTGTCTGACAATCATCGCTGCATATTAACCCAAGTCTGCAATTTCTGGCTATTAAGTAAGACTCCCATTCAGTTACCCATTATCTGTGGATTCACGATACACACACACCTCATTAATGCTATACTTACTTACATAGACAGACAGACAGACACAGACAGACAGACACACCAGGAGCTGTGAATCGACCCCTGCAACCACAAATAAGCGAGTACATACATTAAGTATCTATCTTCCTCAAACACCAAGTGTGAGAGGAAAAACAAAAGAAAAATACCTAGGGTATTTAGTGTTTTTGTACACACACACACACACATATACATAATGGAATGGTTTTAATTATAACCATAATTTTTAAAGGGGTGGACCGGTAAGGCAGCGGAAGGCTTTGGTCAGATGACCAAAAGCTCAACCTGTGGGTATCTTGTTTAGTGACGAACCTTCCCTAACCTAACTTTCACCTCAAACCCCACATCCCCCCCCCCCCACATTATCCCCAAATCAACCACCTCTGCCCTTCCCAGCCCTCACCTCGTTGGTAACTACCTATGTAACTCGCAGTATACAGTTATTGTTATCAAAAGATCTTGGGGTATAACGCAAAATTTCATAGCTTAAACATCACAAATGCACATAATTTGGTAATTTTTATGAAGAAACCGCTTAATTTACGTCTCGATAATTAGGCTGTAATCGATAGATAATTCGATAGGCTACTTCGTTATAAACAAGAAATTGCAAATGTCCATTACTAAGCATTACCCAGTCATTAAATAAATGTTAGGTTAATTAAGCCAGAATTGGGAGAAACTAGTCGAGACTAAAGATACAAATGAAATCAATTTTAGTACACTCACCAATGGTACGTTTATTAACCAATTTTAAATACTAATGATGTTATCTCCCGGCCAGACTGATGTTTGCTCACACATCCTGAAGCTGTAGTGTCCGTAACGTGGGAAACATCTCACGGAACTTAAATAAAAATACAAAAACTGAGAGCATACACTTGCTGCCAAGCTGGTTGAGTTTGTGCACACCACTCTGAAATTGCTGCTCACTGAAGCACCGCCCAACCTGACTCAGTGTTCGAGATACTCAACACACCAGACCCCTCAAGGAAGGTTCCTTGATGTTGGTGAGGGGCTCTTGATTTAGGAATTGGATCTGTGCTCCAGTTCCCCGAATTAAGCCTGAATGCCTTCCACATCCCCCCCCAGGCGCTGTATAATCCTCCGGGTTTAGCGCTTCCCCTTGATTATAATAATAATAATAATAATAACACACCAGAGGCTATATACACCTAGTTTATGTTTATCACTGTATATACACATAGTTTAATTTAATCTCTGTCTCAGAATTAAAATAATCTTGTCTGGTGGTGAGTGTCTTTGTGGCCTTGACCCTCGAGTAGTTCTTAAACTAATTCTCCTTAAACATCGAATCACAAACCAAAACGCTGACACTAAATTCAGATGCACTATGCGCTTAATGCCGTATATACTACAGATGTAATATGGTATATACACTCAGAAGTATGTACACACTGAATTTGTTTTATTCGTTAATTTAGGAAGTAAAGTGGTCTTGATTGTTAAGAGTACAGTTTATATACAGCCAGAATGAAGCATGCGTAGCCGGTAGGCTCCAAGCCTAACAAAATTTACTTCCCATATCACATTATTCATAGGAAGCGCTAAACCCACAGGGGGTTATACAAGGCTTGAAGAATAGGAGGTTATAAGGTTTGATCCAAGGCTACGAAGAACAATTACAATTCCTTGAATCAAGATCCCTTCACCAGCGTCCAGGTAATTCCCCCCCCCCAACCCACTCCTTGACTGACTTACAATATCACAATACAGATGCATAATAGTTTACCTTTGATTCTGTATTATCAATTATATTTTTTAGTATAGGTAAGTTTGCACTACCTATGCATGTATTTTGTATATAAAGTTTTAAATAAAAAAATATGCTTGTCACCAATGTTTACGAGATCATTATGTTTGTGTATCAAGTGTAAAATATTAATGAAAAATTCCTAATTTTAGTTTATTTTTGTTATATAAAAGACATCACTTTTGCTTGTTATTAAATGAAAGGTTATTACTTTTGACACTAATAATGTTACTTGTTTTGACACTCAGTGTTGCTAGTTTTGACACTCAGTGTTGCTAGTTTTGACACTCAGTGTTGCTAGTTTTGACACTCAGTGTTGCTAGTTTTGATACTAACAATGTTGCTAGCTTTGACAGTAATAATGTTGCTAGTTTTGAAACTAATAATGTTGCTAGTTTTGACAGTAATAATGTTGCTAGCTTTGACACTAATAATGTTGCTAGTTTTGACACTAATAATGTTGCAAGTTTTGACACTAATAATGTTGCCAGTTTTGACACTAATAATGTTGCCAGTTTTGACACTAATAATGTTGCCAGTTTTGACACTAATAATGTTGCCAGTTTTGACACTAATAATGTTGCAAGTTTTGACACTAATAATGTTAGTTTTGACACTAATAATGTTGCCAGTTTTGACACTAATAATGTTGCTAGTTTTGACACTAATAATGTTAGTTTTGACATTAATAATGTTGCCAGTTTTGACACTAATAATGTTGCAAGTTTTGACACTAATAATGTTAGTTTTGACACTAATAATGTTGCCAGTTTTGACACTAATAATGTTGCTAGTTTTGACACTAATAATGTTAGTTTTGACACTAATAATGTTGCCAGTTTTGACACTAATAATGTTGCTAGTTTTGTCACTAATAATGTTGCTAGTTTTGTCACTAATAATGTTGCTAATTTTGACACTAATAATGTTAGTTTTGACACTAATAATATTGCTAGTTTTAACACTAATAATGTGGCCGGTTTTGACATTAATAATGTTGTTTGACATTAATGATTATGTTAGTTCTAACATTAATGATATTCGCTCTAACGGTAATGTTAGTTTTAACATTACTTTTAATTCTAACATTAAAGTTAATATTAAAAAATATATCGTAGTTCTAATATTAATAATGTTAGTATAACATTAATAATGTTAGTGTAATATCAGTAATGTTAGTTTAACATTAATAATTTTGCTAGTTTTAACATTAATAAATATATACAACTAAATTACGGAATAAAGCATTGCTTTGTTTACCCAAAATTTCAGTGTATGTGAAGGCGAGTTGCAATGAAGTTCATAGTAGATGAAGGATAGTGATGTCCATGGTAGGTGAAAGATAGTATTCTCCTTAATGGTAGGTGACGGATAGTGATCTTTTTCATGGTAGGTGAAGGATAGTGACCTTCTTTATGGTAGGTGGTGTGTATACACTTAGCGATATACACCTTTCGGTGTATATACCCTGGGTGGGTGAAGGTGTGGGATTGATAGCAGCCACCGGACGCAAGTTATTTACCTCTTGTGGAGAGTTAGGTTGGCTCTTCATCAGTATACATCCTCATAGCCTCTTCCTATACAACACCCTTCACTCCACATTATATATTTTATGATATACCGGCTGTCCACCACGAAAACAGGGTGACCTTAAAAAAAGAGGAAGCAAGTTTTTAGTCATTTATGCAATTGCTGTCTTGCCAGAAGTGTGCTGACATTCCAGTTCGTATGGGCCATCTGAACTGTGATGTCATTTACACCCCTCCTTCAGAGGGTAGGCACTGCACTTTTCACCTCCAGGATTCAAGTCTGGCTAACTGATTTCTCTGAAATACTTCTTAAATATTACCTTACATTCCAAAGGCACTTCAGGTCATAAAAACCATTTCCCTCCACTCTGATCAAACGCTCTCACACAAGCCTATTTGACTATGTTTGAAGCCCCCTAGCACTCAAAACCTCCTTTACCTCCTACCTCTACCCTTTCTTTGAACGACCCCTGCCCCCTCCTTCCCTTGACTCATTGGTATCCTATTTTGCTTCATCCTTAACAAATGCCCAAATTACCTCAACCTAATTTTAGCTTAACTATAATAACGATCGTTACTACAGGCCCAGCCAACGGCACCTCCTACCCGGTACACTTGCACGGCTACAAGTTCTGGGTACTGAGCCAGGTGGAGGCCTCGCAGGTACCCACACCCAGTAAACCCCCACCTACTCCCAGCAATGCTACCCTCAGTGAAGTCGACCTTGAACTTAACCTCTTAGCCACGAAGAGTGAATTCCTCACAAGGGAGACAGTGATGCAGCTGGACCAGGAAGGCAAGTTGCTGAGGAATCTTGAGGACCCCGTCATGAAGGACTCTGTATCGATACCTCCCGGAGGATACACAGTCGTCAGGATCGCCGCGGAGAACTCAGGTTAGAACGCCTTTGGCTCTGTATACCGCAAGCATGATGTCTGAAGCTTTACAGAACAATGGTCTTAAAACCAACGTTTTATACCGAGTCATCTCTTTGGCTCAACCGATAATGCTCATCGATAAATGCATAAAATACCGTCTTACAACAATATTTTTTAACTTTAAGCAATAGTTACAAAACCTAAATATTGCACAATAATTGACGTCAAACCCTTTGGGTTCTGGACGATACATTCTCAGCCTCAAGTCAATCCTATCTCATAACCAAACTATTTGAACTGTTTGAACATTAAAATGGTATAAAATACCGTGTCCGCGTGCGTGCGTGTGTACTCACCCAATTGTAGTTGCAGGGGTCGAGACTCAGCTCCTGGCCCCGCTTCTTCACTGAACGCTACTAGGTCCTCTCCCTGCTCCACGAGATTTATCATGTCTTGAGGATGTCCCTCCAAGAGAGAACCCGTAATATTGGATTCAAATTAGATAAGTTTAGATTTAGAAAGGATATACGAAAGTATTGGTTCGGAAATAGGGTAGCTGATGAGTGGAACAGTCTGCCTAGTAGGGTGACTGAAGCTAAAACCTCGAGTAGTTTCAAGTTTAGGCTGGATAAATGCATGAGTGAGAGGGGTTGTATTTGAGTGGGACTTGCACATGAGTTAGTGGATTTATCAGAGCTTATTGCTTGGGTAGCACTAAAGTGGGTTGGGCAAATATTCTGTTAGTGGGTTGGATTTGTGAAGGACCTGCCTAGTATGGGCCAACAGGCCTACTGCAGTGTTCCTCCTCTCTTATGTTCTTATACCTCGTTTTAAAACTATGTATGGTTCCTGCCTCTACTACCTCACTTGCTAGACTATTCTGCTCCCTGATTACTCTATGACTGAATAAATACTTCCTAACTTCCCTTTGACTCATGTGAGTCTTCATCTTGCTTCTGTGTCCCCTCTCTGGAACATCCTGTCTCTGTCCACTTTATCTATTCCACGCAGTATTTTGTATGTCGTTATCATGTCTCCCCTGACCCTCCTGTCCTCCAGTGTCGTCAGGCCGATTTTCCTCAACCTTCGTAGGGCATTTTCCTTAGCTCTGAACTAACCTTGTCGCAAACCTTTGCACTTTCTCTAATTTCTTGACGTGCTTGATCAAGTGTGGGTTCCAAACTGGTGATGCATACTCCAGTATGGGCCTGACGTACAAGGTGTACAGTGTATTGAACGATTCGTTACTAAGGTACCGGAACGCTATTCTCAGGTTTGCCAGGCGCCCATATGCTGCAGCAATTATCTGGTTGATGTGTGCTTCCGGAGACGTGCTCGGTGTTATACTCACCCTAAGATCTTTCTCCTTGAACGAGGTTCGCAGTCTTTGCCCACCTAGCCTATACTCTGTCTGCGGTCTTCTTTGCCCTTCCCCGATCTTCATGACTGCATTTGGCAGGGTTAAATTGGAGAAGCCAGTTGCTGGACCAGATGTCCAGCCTGTCCAGGTCTCTTTGAAGTCCTGCCTGATCCTCATTTGATTTCATTCTCCTCATTAACTTCACATCATCTGCGAACAGGGACACTTCTGAGTCTATCCCTTCCATCATGTCATTCACATATACCAAAAATAGCACTGGTCCTAGGACCGACCCCTGTGGGACCCCGCTCGTCACAGGTGCCCACTGTGATACTTCATTACGTACCATGGCTCGTTGTTGCCTCCCTGTCAGGTATTCTCTGATCCATTGCAGTGCCCTTCCTGTTATACGCGCCTGATCCTCTAGCTTCTGCACTAATCTCTCGTGAGGAACTGTGTCGAAGGCCTTGCAGTCCAAGAAAATGCAATTAACCCACCCCTCTCTCTCGTGTCTTACTTCTGTTACTTTATCATAAAACTCCAGAAGGTTTGTGACACAGGATTTGCCTGCCATGAATCCGTGCTGGTTGGCGTTTATACTCTTGTTCCATTCCAGGTGCTCCACCACTCTTCTGATAATCTTCTCAATGACTTTGCATACTGTACACGTCAGTGACACTGGTCTATAGTTTAGTGCCTCTTTTCTGTCTCTTTTTTTTAAAAATGGGAACTACATTTGCCGTTTTCCATATCTCAGGTAGTTGCCCAGTTTCAAGGGATGTATTGAAGATTGTGGTTAGTGGTACATACAGCGTTTCTGCTCCCTCTCTAAGGACCCTCGGGGAGATGTCCGGTCCCATTGCCTTTGAGGTATCACGGTCCCTTAGCTTCTTCGCCTCCTCCTCAGTTATGTGTATGTCATCCAACACTTGTTGGTATATTCTTTGTTGGTGTCCCCCTCTGTTCTGTCTTCCCAGAGGCCTTCCCGTCTCCACTGTAAATACTTCCTTAAATCTCGTGTCGATCTCCTCACATATCTCTTGATCGTTCCCCACCTTCTTTCCTCAGCCCGATCACCTGGTCTTTGACTGTTGTCTTCCTCCTAATGTGGCTATACAGCAGTTTCGGGTCAGACTTGACTTTCGATGCTGTGTCGTTTTCGTACTGTCGCTGGGCCTCCCTCCTTATATGTGCATACTCGTTTCTGGCTCTTCGACTAATCTCCTTATTTTCCTGGGTCCTTTGCCTCCTGTACCTTTTCCATTCTCTGGTGCACTTAGTTTTTGCCTCCCTACACCTTTGGGTAAATCAAGGACTCGCTTTGGTTTTCCCATTATTTCTGTTGCCCTTGGGAACAAACCTTTCCTCTGCCTCCTTGCATTTTGTTACATATTCCATCATTTCGTTTACTGACTCCTACCAGTTCTCTGTCCCATTGAACCTCCTGCAGGAAGTTCCTCATACCTGTGTGTGTGTGTGTTTTGTCTCATGTATGTTTGCTTGACTGTGTGTGAGGGATGGGGGGGAAGATATACTACTTTAAGTGTAGTATGAACTAGGTTAACCTTACAAAGATGGCTGACTTTAAATGTTTTCCTCAGGTGTGTGGATGTTGGAGAGTCAGGTGCTAATGGACGCCCAGGCAGGGATGTCCCTGGTACTGCAAGTGGGTACCGCCGCTGATGTACCCAAATCTCCTCCACCTGACTTCCCCACCTGTTGAGCTCTCCCAGGAGCTGTATCAGACGTTCTCTATCACAAAATTGACAAAGGCACATGCAACACCATCACAACGCTGACAGGCACATACAAAACTACTACAACACTGATAATAACACCTACGGAACACTCGCACACTGACAACACACAATACTGACAACACACATCACCCTCACAACACTAATAACAGCGCCCACATCACCCTCACAACACTGATAACACCACACACACATCACTTTCACAACACTCATAACATCACACACATCTTCACAACACTAATAACATCACACACATCACCACAAGACTGATAACATCATTGCTCTCTCAACACTGATAACATCACACACATTACTCTCACAACACTGATAACATCACACACATTACTCTCATAACATTGATAACATCACACAGCACTGTTAACAGCAAACCGAATAGCTCAACGCTGTCAACAACACAAGACTTCTTTCAACACCAATACACATCCCTAGAATCAGCCTCAGCATATAATGTACGTCGGCCGGCCGGCATCAAGAATCTGGTTGACCAGCCGTCATCTGTGAGATGAGATCACAGATTTACCCTGTACACCTGTTTTTACAGATTCATAATTTTAGTTTTTGAAATTATTTCGAATTAAATTTAAGTGAAGATTTCAGTATTTACTGTCCTGTGAACGCAAATATGGCATATTGTTTGACTCACTGGGTTAGCCTAGGTTAAATATATATATATATATATATATATATATATATATATATATATATATATATATATATATATATATATATATATATATATATATATTATATATATATTGTCGTGCCGAATAGGCAGAACTTGCGATCTTGGCTTAAATAGCAACGCTCATCTTGCCATATAGGACAAGTGAAAATTTGTGTATGCAATAATTTCGCCAAAATCATTCTGTACCTAACGAAAACAAATATATTTTACTGTGTTTGTTTAGTATTAAATTATTGTAAACAAATCTAAAATATATTTAATTGGGTTAGGCTAAAATAAATTGTTCTTGATACAGTAAGGTTAGGTAAGTTTTCTAAGTTCCTTTTGGTGCAAAATTATAAATTTTTACATCAACATTAATGAAAAAAATATATCTTTAAACGTATAAGAGAAAATTTTAGAAAGGGCTTAAATTTAAATGAGTTCTTGCTAATTGACCAGTTTTACATATTCGGCACGACACACACACACACACACACACACACACACACACACACACACACACACACACACACACACACACACACACACACACACACACACACACACACACACATATATATATATATATATATATATATATTATATATATATATATATATATATATATGTACCCCACAAGACCACGGTATAAAGCTACTTGCGTATGAAATGTTAGTGAGAACTTTACGTCCTCAGCAAACTTCTTGTTGGGTGTTTAATGGGTCACTGTCTCTCGGGAGACATGGCCGGTGGCGTCACCCAAAACTGGGCGACGAAAGGAAAGGGAACAGGATTTCCTTTCGAGAAGAGAGTGAAAAGGAGTCTCAATTACGCCAGGTGGGCTCACTCCCCACTTTATGTAAACTCGAGCAGAGAGGGACACTCGTGCCCTCACCTCTGAGTGGTAAGTGACTTTCCTCCAAAGCATCCCCGCCCGTGGTATGATTTGTTTGCAATTATGTCATTACGATTTCGTGAGTCATAAAGCTGGACGGAGCGCCATTCATTGATGACTCCTTCCAAACCAGTTCCTTTCTGCATCTTTTTTTCAACCTAAATTTATACAATTTTGGGCAGGCGTCCCAGGGAGAATGGGGTATATTTGTTACTGATGCTCAGGGTACAAAGGCCGGCGCAGAAGTCTCGTTTTAGTTGTGCCGCCTGTGAAAATAGTTTACTGTACACCTGCACCTCACCCTGCGAGCGGTAGCGGAAAAATCAGGATTACAGAGGCCACAATGAGTATCAGCTTCCACTGAGCATTGCTACATCACTAGAAAGATATATGTATTAATTATTCCATATTTTACAATTACTTCATATAATTAATGTACATAATACATTATGGAATACATTCTCAAATAAAAAAATATTACCACTAAAATAATATTGGTCATATCTGGGTTACAATTTCTTCTATATAACCAGTTCATTCATCCAATCAATGCAAAATGTGGATACAACCTCAAGATTTCAGACATTTCAACATTAACAATAAAATGTTTTGTCACAGCCTATAAGATTTGCATGGAGGTGGCTCTGAGAGGTTAAGGGAAAGAGTAATTGAGCTTAGGCAAAATAACTTGGAAAGGATCTGTTAGCGGACTCAGTCAATACAATTCCCGGAGCAAAAACGTGGCAAAGTATTTATAAAATAACTGGAAAAAGAAGTAGACAAGTTTCTGCCTCAAATCCCATACACAAAGCACAGAACTCAACAAGCCTATTAGTACTATAAATTTATGCGCTAAACCCGTAAGGTCAGAAAACGCCTGGGGAAATGAAAGGTAGTAAGATTCGATTCAAGGAATTAGTGCACTGGTCCAATTCCTTAGATCAAGAGCCCCCTCACCAGCATCAAGGAACCTTCCTTCTGGGGAGCGAGATCAATAGTGAATCTGTGTTCAGTGGGGTCTTCACTGTTTATGTTCTTGTGTGTCACAAACAGTTGGAAGGAATCTAAATTCACCTGAATGTGATATGTACAGCAGATGATCTATTCTCTCTATTTCATATATTCGTTGTATTTGCTGATAACGTGAAAATAAAATACTATCATTATTATTATTATTATTATTATTATTATTATAAATGTAACAATATTGCACATATTTAATATACAATATTGTATATATTTAGTATACAATATTAATAAATTTAAAATTTACCGTGGCTATATCTACCAAAGTAATTAATGTTTGACATAGAGAACCGACGACTTTAAACATAATGTTCGACATGTTAACATAAAATGTTGAATATATTTAATACAATGGCATATATGTTTACTATGTATTAGTGCATGTATTTAGCATACAGGATTGAATATACTAACGTTATAAGACATTCGAGTCAATTACCTACTGGATATATCTAGCATATGCTCAATACTGGAAATACGTAATATGTTATATACATTATATATCAAACTTAATAATATTCACAAATGACTCAATTTTTGGAGAGGAAATATCAGACGACGTTTCTGTCCCTTTTGACTTGATAACAGTCCAGGACGGACCGAAACGTCGTCTAAAGTATACAATGATATTGCTACAGTATTAGATATGTTGAATGTATGGTGGTGTATTATCATAGTGTTAAATATGACGGTATTTGTGATGTATTAACATGCATTACTGAATGTATAGCAATATACACTAACACAGTGTTGCTAATATTCCTGATATAGTTCTGAATTTCTATAATATATTGTAACGGATAAATGTAACATAATCTTTCATATATTTACTACAGTCTTCAGTATATATAACACTATTATTATATATATATATATATATATATATATATATATATATATATATATATATATATATATATATATATATATATATATATATATATATATATATATATATTGCTTTGTAAATTCTGGGTCAGACAATAAAATTATTATAAATAATACAAGGGTTTTCCTGCCCTTTATACACAACGCGACTGGTTAATTATATTTTTAACACCGAGGTCGAGTGACCCGAAGAAGAAACACTTTTACCATCACTCCACTGTGTTCCCAGAGGCCCGCTGATACTACAGCCCAGATGCCCCTCTAAACAGCAAATATTCCCAACCCTCTTTAAGAGTGCAGGCACTGTGCTTCCCACCTCCAGGACTCAAGTCCGACCAGCCGGTTTTTCTGAATCCCTTCATAAATAATATCTTGCTAACGCTCCAACAGCACGTCAAACCATAGAAACCACTTCCATTCCTATATAACGAATTCACACACGCCTGATGAATGTTCAAGCCCCTCGCTTGCTAATTATTTATTTATTATTATTATTTATTATTATTATTATTATTATTATTATTATTATTATTATTATTATTATTATTATCAGTGGTAATATTAGTGGTAGTATAGTAGTAGTAGTATATTACAATCAAGGGATGCGCTGAACCCGTAGGGGTCATACAACGCCAGGGTAATGGGGGTGGGGCAACCAGTATTGATCAAAGGAAGTAAAAGCTAGCAACATCCCTTGTTCAGTGAAAATTTGTACCGTTAATGCTTTGATACTGGCCAAGAGCTCTTGATCCAAAGAATTTGAACTGCCTTCCTCCTCCTCGGATCAAACCTTATTGCCTCCCATTCCTCGGGTGCTGTGACTAACGGGTGTTTCCTCATGTTAAAAATAGTAATAATAATAATAATAATAATAATAATAATAACAATAATAATAATAGGCCTTGATTACCTTGAACTACTTTTATGATTAATGAATGACTATTCAGATGGTCAAATGTTTAAATAAACATGAAACGTAACAATATTAAAACCGGTATTAAAAATAGTCATTAATAATGTCAACTACAATAATGAAGTCTTTTGTGTAAGCTGAATTTATGATTATTATTGTTATTATTATGATGTACGTGTTATACAGTACTTCCTACATTCTATCAAAATTAAATTTTTCCAATTTTTATCCATTACTTAGTGAGTCCTGTGTTGTTTAGATGTTTTCCAGCCGCTCTTTAGCGCAAGTAGCTGGAGTGAAGCTCCAGCTAAGCACAAAACAGCTAAGCACAAAACAGCTAAGCACAAAACAGCTAAGCACAAAACAGACAAACTAACTGTAGTTGTTGTGTCAGTTTAGGTGCAAGAAAAACATTAAAAGGTGTTTACTGATAAAGACTTAGCCAGTTTTTTAGGTAGATAATATCAGAATTTCCTCCCAGTGGACGTCCCTGAAGACCAGTGAGGGCCTTCTGATCCAAGGAATTGGACTTGTCCTCCATTTCCTTGGATTGAATTAGAGTGCCTCCCATTCCCCTGAAGCTATATAACTCTTGTGGGTTTAGGGCTTTCCCCTGATTAAAATAGAAAATACACGCAGCGCCACAGAGCGTGGCCTTGATAACCCTCTTCACCGAGGACTGGCCCACAAAATAACTCAGCAGATACGCAAAACAACCTCGACCAGTATACAAAGAGGTGCTACTGCTAAACGAACAAGAAGGATGATTAACTGTAAGTAGATTGAGTGTAGCACTTACATCTCCCACGCACCACCCACCAGTATCCCCTTCCCTCTCCTCTTCTCTTCTCTACGTTCCTCTCTGCTTCCCCTTCAAGCACAAGTTTGTTGTGCTCCTTACACGAGGTGGTGATGGCAGGGTGGGTATATAAGGAGGGTTATGATGGAGGAAGTTCAGTTGAGTGGTGACAGCAGAGGTGGTCATGTGGACGTCTGGGTCTCCACGCCTTCTCCTGCTCCTCTTCCTCTTCCTCCTCCTCCTCCTAGTGGCACTTTTCTCCACGGTTCAAGGACGCCCCTCACCACCAGGTAACACTCATCATGTTCGTCTCCTCTCCAGCAGTTCTTTCTTCTACTCTATTTTCTTCTCTTTTCAAAGACGTTGGTCACCACTAAGAAATATTGATCATGTTATCTTTTCCTCTCACGCAACTCTTTCTGTTGTCACAAAATACCAACCAGTTGATGAATTAGACACAATGTGCAACACCTGGGTATCTTTATTCTAAACTTGTTTCACCAAATAGTGGCTTTACCAATTCAACACAGAGGTTAAGTGGAGACAGTCTTGAAGGTACAAATATAAATAATTTGTTTCTTTTCTGCAATAAACAGGTAACATAGTTCACGTGTAATAATATATTGTTAGGAACAAAGAAAGCCACTAGCATGCGGTGAATTTCGTTGAAATTGTAGATGAGGCAATCAGTCCCTTACTGTACTCTTCTTCCTGTCTTCTCCGCTTACCCCTTCCATTGGGTATATTATGTAGCGCGTGGATCTCAAGTACTCAACTAATATTCACGTCTTCACCCAACTAATGAGTGTCGTACATGATTTGAACAGCTGCTTGCTTTGATTTCCCTTGAATATTTACCCGGAGAAAGTCTGAGTGTGTATAAACAGGTGTGCGTATGTGTGTGCGGATGTGTACTCACCTAGTTGTGGTTGCAGGGGTCGATTCACAGCTCCTGGCACCGCCTCTTCACTGGTCGCCACTAGATCACTCTTCCTGCTCCATGAGCTTTATCATACCTCTACTTAAAGCTATGCATGGATCCTGCCTCCACTACATCACTTCCCAGACTATTCCACTTCCTGACAACTCTGTGACTGAAGAAATACTCCCTAACATCCCTGTGATTCATTTGAGTCTTCAACTTTCAACTGCGACCCGTTGTTGCTGTCTCCCATCTCTGAAACATCCTGTCTCTGTCCACCTTGTCGATTACTCTCAGTATTTTATGTCGTTATCATGTGTGTGCGTGTGCGCGTGTACTCACCTATTTGTGGTTGCAGGGGTCGATTCATAGGGTGCGTGTGTGTGTGTGTGTGTGTGTGTGTGTGTGTGTGTGTGTGTGTGTGTGTGTGTGTGTGTGTGTGTGTGTGTGTGTGTGTGTGTGTGTGTACTCACCTAGTTGTGGTTGCAGGGGTCGATTCATAGCTCCTGGCCCCGCCTCTTCACTGGCCGCTACTGGGTCACTCTCCCTGAACTAGGAGCTTTATCATACCTCTTCTTAAAGCTATGAATGGATCCTGCCTCCACTACATCGCTTCCCAAACTATTCCACTTCCTGAGTACCCTGTGATTGAAGAAATATTTCCTAACATCCCTGTGATTCATCTGAGTCTTCAACTTCCAACTGTGACCCTTGTTGCTGTGTCCCATCTCTGGAATATACTGTCTCTGTCCACCTTGTCAATTCCTCTCAGTATTTTATATGTCGTTATCATGTCTCCCCTATCTCTCCTGCCCTCCACTGTCGTCAGGTAGATTTCCCTTAACCTCTCCTCGTAGGACATACCCCTTAGCTCTGGGACTACTCTTGTTGCAAACCTTTGCACTTTCTCTAGTTTCTTTACGTGCTTGGCTAGGTGTGGGTTCCAAACTGGTGCCGCATACTCCAATATGGGCCTAACGTAGACGGTGTACAGGGTCCTGAACGATTCCTTACTAAGATGGCGGAATGGTATTCTTAGGTTTGCTAGCCGCCCATATGCTGCAGCAGTTATTTAGTTGATGTGCGCCTCAGGAAGTGTGCCTGGTGTTATACTCACCCCAAGATCTTTTTCCTTGAGTGAGGTTTGTAGTCTCTGGCCCCCTAGACTGTACTCCGTCTGCGGTCTTCTTTGCCCTTCCCCAATCTTCATGCCTTTGCACTTGGTGGAGTTGAACTCCAGGAGCCAGTTGCTGGACCAGGTCTGCAGCCTGTCCAGATCCCTTTGTAGTTCTGCCTGGTCCTCGTCCGACTGAATTCTTCTCATCAACTTCACATCATCTGCAAACAGGGACATTTCGGAGTCGATTCCTTCCGTCATGTCCTTGTGTGTGTACTCACCTAATTGTGGTTGCAGGGGTCAAGACTCAGCTCCTGGCCCCGCCTCTTCACTGATCGCTACTAGGTCCTCTCTGCTCCCTGAGCTTTGTCATACCTCGTCTTAAAGCTATGTATGGTTCATGCCTCCACTACATCACTTGCTAGACTATTCCACTTCCTGACTACTCTGTGACTGAAGAAATACTCCCTAACATCCCTGTGACTCGTCTGAATCTTCAGCTTCCAATTGTGACCCCTTGTTTCTGTTCCCCTCTCTGGAACATCCTGTCTCTGTCCACCTTATCTATTCCACGCAGTATTTTGTATGTCGATATTATGTCTCCCCTGACCCTCCTGTCCTCCAGTGTCGTCAGGCCGATTACCCTAAACCTTTCTTCGTAGGAGATTCCCCTGAGCTCCGGAACTAGCCTTGTGTGTACTCACCTAATTGTGGTTGCAGGGGTCGAGACTCAGCTCCTGGCCCCACCTCTTCACTGATTGTTACTAGGTCCTCTCTCTGCTTCCTAAGCTTTGTCATACCTCGTCTTAAAGCTATGTATGGTTCCTGCCTCCACTACATAACTTGCTAGACTATTCCACTTCCTGACGACTCTGTGACTGAAGAAGTACTTCCTAACATCCCTGTGACTCGTCTGAGTCTTCATCTTCCAATTGTGACCCCTTGTTTCTGTGTTCCCTCTCTGGAACATCCTGTCTGTGTGTGTGTGTGTGTACTCACCTATTTGTCGTTGCAGTGGGCGAATCATAGCTCCTGGCTCCTGTGTATATGTGTGTGTACGTGTACTCACCTACATGTAGTTGCATGAGTAGTCTCAGTTCCTGGCCCCGCCTCAAAGCTGATCGCCACTAGGTTCATTTCTTGACTTCTGGATCTTTATTTTACATCTCAAAACTATGGAAAAATCTTGCCTCTACTTCATTCTCCAGGTCCTTCCACTTCCTGACTACTCTAAGGCTGAAAAAATGCTTCCTAACGTCCTTGTGACTCATCTGAGTTTTTAACTTTCAGTTGTGCCCTCGTGTTTCTGTTTACCAATTTTTAAAGAATCTGTCCATTAACTCTCAATTCCTCTCAGTATTTTGTACGTTGTTATCATATCACCCCTAGTTCTTCTGTACTCCAGTGACATCGGGTGATTTTCCTTAGCCTCTAATGTATGTTTGTAAGAGAGAGAGAGAGAGAGAGAGAGAGAGAGAGAGACTCCTACCTATCCTTAGGTACAGCAGCAGAGTTATTTGTGATGTCTTCGTTTTTTTTTTAGTGATCATTGTCCCAGCTAATGTTTTACACGTAGCAGTGGCTGCAGTGCTTGTTACATCTTCTAGTATACCATTCCATTTTTCCACCTTTGTGAAGAAAAAATCCTAGTATTCAATTGGTATAGCATTTTTCTTAGCAATCGTGGCCTCTTGCTCACCCTGTTTGTTGTTGCTAATTTATTTTCTGGAATCCTTTTATCATCTTGTACGTTATTGTCATGTCTCCTCTCTTCCACTATCAACCAATCAGGACATGTTTAACATTGTCTGACTTCCCTCGTAGCCATATTTATCAGCACTGGCAGCCATTTTGTGGCATATCTCTCGACTGTTTTTCTGTAATCATTATTACTCATGGGGAAGTGGTAAACACGCAGGTTCATACAGTGCCTGGGGACTTCATCGAACCTCTCAACGCTAAACCCGTAGGGGTAATTCAGCGCAAGGAGTGGTGGAGGCTCGATCCTCCGTCTGTATAGCACGAGACGGACGAGTTACCATTCATTCGACCGATTACCACAGTGCCCGGGGAATGGAAGGTAATGTGGTTTGATCCGAAGGGATTCTTTGGATCAATTATTTTTATTTTATTAAATATTTATTATATAATTATTTATTATGATTACTATTATTAATCATAATAAATAAGGAAACCCTTTAGCAGTATCAAGGCAGCCATCTTGAAACTTTTTGTATATATTCTGGTAGAATTACCGACAATATGTAAAGTAAAAGGACACAAGTGCAACTAATGTGACATTTTATTGTGGCAAAGTTTCTCTCTCCAGGAACTTGACAAAGCTCCTGGAGAGAGAAACGTTGCCACAATAAAATGTCACATTAGTTGCACTTGTGTCCTTTTACCTGAAACTTTTTGTAGATCGGTGCTTCTGTTACCAATATTAAAGAGGAACTCTCTTCTTCAGGTAGGTGGTGGTGGCCGTCGTCTCCAGCAGAGAGCGTGGTTGTTCACCCAGTGTGGCCTCGCACTGTACCTTCCCTGCATAACCTCAACTCCTACTCTACACTCGCTAACCACTACCTCCGCTGGGGCTCTGCCGCTGACTTGGACAACTACGGTGATTTGATAAGTTCTGGGGACCTGGTGAGTGATGGAAACCTTGACGACTTGGTTAGCGCTGAAGAACTGGATGACCTGGTGAATGACAGGAGACTTGATGACCTAGAGAGTGACGAGGAACTTGATGACCTGGTGAATGACAGGAGACTTGATGACCTAGAGAGTGACGAGGAACTTGATGACCTGGTGAATTACAGGAGACTTGATGACCCAGTGAGTGATGAGGACCTTGATGACTTGATGACTGACGGGAACCTTCATGACTTAATGAGCACCGGAGACTCTCAGAGCTCTTTGGATCCAATGAGCACCGGGGATTTAGTCATCCCCGGGGACCTGTTCAGCTCAGGGGATATAGTGAACACTGGAAATTTATTGAGCACTGAAGAACTCTTTCGCTCAAACGGCTTAGCTATGCCCGGTGATCTGGCGAGTGGCGAAGACTTGGTGGACTCTGGTGACCTGGTAATTCCCGGGGATCTAGTGAGCACGAATGACCTGGCCAGTCTCGGACGCACCAAGAGGAAGGTGGTCTCCAGCGGCGGCCACTACATCGTCTGGAGCAGGTCCGGCACCTCGCCATGGAGCTCCGCCGGCTACGAAAGCGTCGGCGACTACAAGATCAACCACCAGCGGGAATACGGTTGGAATCATCGAGGTAAGATCGGCGACGGTGGCTCCAGGAAGACCTTCCCGCCCCAGCCGGAGCCTAGAAGAGGCCGACGGGCACCCAGGAAGAAGCTAAGCAAGTCCTTCAAGAGGGAGATCGCTCAGTACGCAATGGTGTACGGCCCACAAAACGCCGCTTTACATTACGAGAAAAGCATCGGCAGGAGACTCAGAGACAGAGTGGTCAATAAGTTTGTCCAGAGGTACCAAGAAAGACGGAAAAGAAAAAGGAGAAGGAGAAGAAGACTCGGCCAAACGTGAATAATTCTGGCTATGTGTTTGCGTGTAGGCTTGGCGAACGACTGCCTGGCGTACCTTACATAGTGGACACGTCCCTTGTTAGCCAGCATGAAAGTATCTTCCTTCTGAATCAAGAATACCGGCACCACCAGGGAAGTCTCCGTATTTTTCTTTCTTGACCTCGACTGACCTCTGAATAGGCCTCCGAGTGACCTCTAGGAGCCTATTCTAGGCTCAGATTAACTAGAGACATCCAGGTGACCTTGTCTCAGTGTGCGTCCATGTTAGTTTTGTCGCTAGAAGAAAAAACTGACACTGGTATTTTTCATAACATGAACATGACTTGGGTCAGTGGTGCCGGTCGTATGGCGGAGACGTGGCACGCGTGTCTTTGAACACGTGACGGTGGTATAGCAATTACCCTGCGGTGAACCATGGCAGCAGCGTCCGCTGACTTACCTGTGCTGGACTCTATTGTGAGTGCTGCTAGGTGTCTTGAGGAACTTTCTGAGTCTCCACTTCTGGCTGACGTCACCGCCTCTACCTCCACTATCTTCCTCACCCATATTGGGTACACAAACTGCACCAAGAACTTTATTTTTCTAGATTATATAAATAAAACTATGCCATTAACATAAGTTTCTTTTCCTAAAATAAATATGAGGTAATCTTGAAGACAAGATTTTGTTGTCGGTTTCCCCATCGCTTTTACAACACCTAGGGAATGGGAAGCCATCACGTTCGATCCAAGGGAGGGGAGGGGAGGGCAAAGCCAATTCCTTGGACTATGAGCCCCTCACCATTATAAGGACTTGATTAACTGAGTTTAAAAATAAAATTACACGGTTTCAGCGTTACTGATGACATGGGTCTTAAAAAGCATGATTGAAACCCAATAACTCCCCGGGTCCCGACAACCTCTCGCAAAATCACAATAACTACTGTAAAAAAATCATGGCAAGCAAGTGATAAAACTAGCAGGCCAGTGGTACAGCATGGTGCAGTGGTTATAACAATGGCCAGCTAGCTAACTTTAGGATTAGCTTGCCATAAGCTCGAATCCCGTCCTTTCGATGAGTTCTCAAAGAATGTTAAGAAAAGCCTAGTAAATCATTACCGACCGATAATGTGCGGTGACTAGTGTGTGTGTGTATTTACAAAATGGGTGATTACTCATTTATTACCGTTGCTGAAACGACTGAAATCACCGATTTCATTCGTTTCATTTGAACTCGCCTTGTTGAACATTATTTCATCAGTCTCAACACTGCTTCACTAGCGGTCGTTCTTGTCTAACAAATTTATTAACATTTTCACCAAGATAACTGAAACGGCAAACCATGAAGAAGAGTAATACGTTGTTTATCTGGATTTGAACAAAATAAGAGACAGACATCAAGACAAGTGTCAGAGAAAAAAGAAAGTTTCCATAAATCGAGAAAAATCAGAACGAGAGCTAGTCACAAGTGGCGTTCCACTTGGGTTAATGTTGACACCCTTCTTGTTTACACATGACCTGGATGAGGAAATAAACATTAACGTAAGCACTCACGACACAAAATTAAGCTGACAAACTCTGCATACCAAAGAACCTCAAGATTATTTGATTAATGTATTGGTGGGAAAAGTGGCAGATGCGTTGTAATGTGGGAAAATGTAAGATAGTAATCCTAAAAAATAAAACTATTACATCTATCAGTTATAAAATATATAACTTAAAATGGAGTCTAAACAAAATTAGAAGCTCTGACAGGATGACATCTGGAACTTGGGCAACGGTACATGAATCTTTGCTATAATGTTATTTACTCTGGGCGAAATGGCCCACTAAACAAGCTCTACATAATGAATCTTCATACCCACACCTGTCAGCATTATACCTGTACCTCCAAGCCCCAACAATATACTCTATGTATCGCTGGAATGACAACACATGAGCTTGAGAACATACATAGATCGATGGCAATGTTAATATTCTGTATCAGGAATCTTTCATGTAAACATAGATCAAGAGTAGTGAACTTCAATTCTGTTAGGTAAGACACATATGCAACAGTTAGGTATCTTTATTACGAAACGTTTCGCCTACACAGTAGGCTACTTCAGTCGAGTACAGAAAAGTTGATAGAAGCAGAAGAGACTTGAAGACGATGTAATCAGTCCATCACCCTTAAAGTTTTGAGGTGGTCAGTCTGAAGAAGCCTACTGTGTAGGCGAAACGTTTCGTAATAAAGATACCTAACTGTTGCATATGTGTCTTACCTAACAACCTGTCGGTATTTTATACCATTTTAATGTTCGACTTCAATTCTCTAGAAAAAACGTAGAGTAAGGGGAAATATGAAGGATATTTTATACATAAAATATACTTTTTTTAACTACGTTAATAACAAAAAAAATTATTAAACGCGAATTAGATTTTATGTATAGCAACAAGCATGTCACAGTAGTGAGTCTCATTCGTCACTTGACAAGAAAAAGCTAAATACAGCCACGTACATTAACACTCGCAAGCCAAGCCTATATCACAAAAATAAAAACCATTCGAACTAAATTGGAAATAAACTGGAAAGGTGTTAAAAAAAAGCTAATATAAAAAGCAAGCTGTACCAAAAGGGCACATTCATATTTATCCCGTAAAAATGTGGAAAAACAGTAATTTTTTATGATTATTATCACACTCACCACTAACAACCACCATCACAGCCACTACCAAAACCCCCAACAATATGTACCACCACCACCAGAACCATACCCACCACCACAAATGGCACCAACCACCACCATCACAATCACCAACACCTAAGCCACCGCCAACAACTACCACCATGACCATTACCACCACCATAACAATTGACAGATAGAGGAAGGATGAAGCAATTGAGAGAAGTGGACGTAATGATGGCTAGGTTTTTAGCAAGGGTAGGGAGAGGGTTGAGTGAGAGAGCAGATGTGTGAGGTGGAGTTGAGGGAGTACACAACACTACAAGGATAAAGACTAGAATGAGATGTGGGAGGTAGACATGAGGGGAAAAAAAAGATAACAGATTAACAAGATAAGCATTATTGATGAATCTCAATTTTTTTCTGACTAGGAAAGGTTATAAAATAACTAAAGGCTCTCTCCTTCTCCTCCACTCCCTCCGATAACACTGCAGGCAAAACGAATTATATAACGAATTGCAATACTGTATAGAAAAAATTCAAGACACGATTAATGTAACTCGATTACGCAGAGAACACAATAATGAAAGAACACTGCAGTAGGCCTACTGACTCAAGCAGATGGATACAAACATACTGACAACAACAGCAGACACACAATATAGAATAAGCTTTTACTGGAGCAACTTTTCGCATTACAGGCCCTTTATAAATCTTAACTAGATGAAGCTCTACACAGTTGTATAATTTGATAAAACTATACACAGAACCAAGACGATAAAACTGCACAAAGCCTAGTAAGATTTGAAATCGACTATGCCAAAGGCACCCGCCAGTCTGACCAACAAGGTAAGAGGGTTCACAGCCACACTATGCAGTTCCATGACATCACAGCTTTGGTGACGTCAAAAGTGAGGGGTGACATCAGAAATAATGTTGACGTCAAGTGCCAGAGACGTGAGTCGTGTCGCGTACAGCATGTGGCGTAGTTCTTCCTGGTCACGTTCACACACACCACGCCCATCACCACACCCATCATTACACAAACCATACCCATCATTACACACCACACCTATCATTACACATACCACACCTATTATTACGTACGACACATCATTACACACCACATCTATTACACGCCACAACTATCATCACGCACATCCATCATCACAAACCACACCTCATCCATTACACACGCACGCACACACGAAGATAAAATCAAGTGGCCCTTGATATAAAGTAAATTACCAAAAGAGCCAGAGTGTCTTCAAGAGGCGCTTGAAGACAAGTTCCTTCGGGTAGTTCTTAATTAGACGGGCAGCGGTGCCTAAGTTGGGCTGCGTGCTGAAAGCACCAACAGCCTGACTGACAAGGCCATCAACTAGGTCTGGTCTGAGACCAGGCCGTGGAGCGATGACCCCCTTCAAATGCAATCTTTAACATCCACCAACACACACAACGTATAAATATATCTCACCACCACCAATGTCTACCGGCTTCAACAATTACAGTCTTGTCCCACCCCTCCAGTACCCAATCCCAAGCCTTCCACGACCCTCCCCCCCATTAACTACCAGTTAAGGATATTTTGGAATGGGTAATGGTTGGGTCCTTCCAAATTATTATTACAATCAAGGGGGAAGCGCTAAACCCGGAGGATTATACAGCGCCTGGGGGGGGATGTGGAAGGCATTCAGGCTTAATTCGGGGAACTGGAGCACAGATCCAATTCCCTAAATCAAGAGCCCCTCACCAACATCAAGGAACCTTCCTTGAGGGGTGGGTCCTTCCAAAGCTAGTCCTACGACTCGCAGTTTGCACTGTAAGGCCCCCACTTCCCGGCTCACTATGAGTTTGTGCCCCAGGCGGAGTAGCAGCAACAACAACGTGCAGGAAGCTGATCATCAGCCTCACACACTCAGAAGCGTCACCAATCAGCTGCCGGCCATTATGATCTGCTGCGCGCCCTCTAGCCCGTATATATGACGTTCATGTGTGTGTGTGTGTGTGTGTGTTTACTCACCAATGTGTCCTCACCTATTTGTGGTTGCAGGGGTCGATTCACTGCACATGGCCTCGCTTCTTCGCTGAACGCCACTAGCTCCACTCTACTTAACTAGCTCTGGGAGTAACTATACCATACATATGATTTTAAGTCAAAATATTATGAGTATATGTTGATAGAAAATTAAGAACACAATATTAATAAAATATAAATATGCCTATTACCAACAAAATATAACAATAACTTTTTACTACTTAAAGCTGACAGCATAAACATTGGTGTCTTAACTAATATTTTTATTTGCCAGAGCCATCAGGTAAACATTATGAACCAAAATGATGACCTCACAGGAAGAAAAAAAATAATCCGCCAACCACTATAGGTTTCCCTTGTTGGGGGATACCTATTTATTACAATATTATATTGATGGGGAGCGCTAAACCCTTAGGAGTTATACAGGTGTGATACTGACAAAACTGCCATGCTCTGACCGTCTTGTTTAATAACGATGTTGGTCACTATTAAGAGAGAACATCATACATAGCAGCCAGTTATTTTACTTATTACATTGTGAATATTTTTACTAGTGACCTAGCCTAATATAACTACAAACAAATTTACTACGGTTAGAGCATCTTAGCAGCTGCTAGTGGGGAGACTACACCTACACAAAAAAATATAATCATAACCGTAATTTTTAAGGGGTGGACCGGTAAGCCAGCGGAAGGCCTCGGACAATGACCAAAAGCTCCAGCTGCGGGTCATCATATGTCTAAGACCCGCGTCAGGAAACACGTGTTCTGTCTCCGACAAACCTGACCTAACCTATACCTACACAGTCTCATTTTAATCACGTGAAGTACTAAACCCGTAAGAGGTCATAGCGCCTGGGGGCCCTTCAGGTTCGATCCAAGGAAGGGTACGCTGTCCAGTTCATTGGATCAAGAGCCTCTCACTGGCATCAAGGCACCAGTGAGA